GCCCCCCGAGTTAGATCTGGTGAAAACTAAAAGACAGGACTATGAGCCCGAAATAGAGAAAGCAAGGTATGATGGCTGTTTGGAAAGGCAGAACCCAGGATGGAGACAACAGTATGAAATGGCACCAACTTGTAAGCCCAGTCACACAGAGGCTTCTGGAGAGACAGAAGATCAGAAGAAGCCAAGCAGTTCCGGGTATGTTAGAAGTTGCTGTCCCCTTTGAAGCAGGTGGACAGTCCAAATTGGAAGATGCCATGCAATACTAATTTAGAGGATTCTTCTTGCAGTTATTATATTACAGCATGAATGTTTCTTCATAAAATACAGTTGCTGAACTCCTGTTTTAACTTTCTCTTTACCTGGGGGTGAGGCAGAAACACAGATTCCCCAGCTGCTGAGTGCGATGCCACGTACCAGCGGAAACTGCGACAAAAGCAGCTACAGCAACAGTTCCGGGAACAGATGGAGAAGAGACGTCAGGTCACAGAAGTTACTCCCAGCAGCAAACAGGGTGAGTTGGGGCATTAGAAGCTGACAGTTTGAATGATAGCCTCTGGCAGACAAGTGTTACTCTCAGTACGGGAGCCTGATCTGTTTTATGCTGTGCTATCGCACTCCTTTGAGACCAAACAAAGGAAGATCCTCATACTTCTATCCCAATGTTCTTAAAGCGGCTCTAAAACCACACCATTAAATCTGCAACTGTCCAGCTACACTAAAGCTTTGTGCAGCAGAGCCACTGCCATCTGTATTGTTACCTTTCTGCGTCAGAGCTGAGGCTGCAGCCCTTCACTGAGGTGGCGGCAGGCAAACGGACGTTGCATTCGCTGCTGGTAGGTTACTTTTCACTCATGGGAAGTCTGGACAGATGTGTGGTAAGTGGGAACTTGGGGGTGGGGTAAAAGAGTTTATAGTATTGCAATTGCTAGTCAGCAGCAGCATCCATACTATTCTATATACCGCTTCCAAAATCCAAGCAGCTGTGGGAAAAGAGGGTACCTGGGTACAATCACTTCAGACTCGTAGTCTGTCTGCTAAGGAGAAACAGAAGAGTTCTTCTGTATTTCAGACTTTAATCTCTTCTTGTGTTACCTCTGTCCAGCAACAGCCAATCCTCCCGTAAAACACAGCAGTCCGGCAGCAGTACAACAGCAACTGGCAATTGAAGAAGAGTTCTTTGCAGGTCAGCCAAGAATAATGAATAGAAGCATGTTAAATTATTGCTATTTGGATTAATTCTTCAACGTGTAAGGGTAAAAGATGTGAAGAGCTTGGAGTAAAAGAAGCGGGAGTCTGACCTTAGCTGTACTAACCTTGCTTGAATGGCAGGAAAACAGTATTAAAATGTGCAAGAGACGAGATGTCCATCAGTATGAGAAGTTTTACACCATGCCTTGCAGTAGAGCACTGTTAGACATATTTGGCAATCTCTTCTCTTCTGGTGACGTTTCACAAAAACAGAACATGGAAGGGGGGGAAGTGCCTTTTCTTAACACAGCTACGGCTGTTTGTGTCACACAGCACAGCACGTGAACCTTACTGAAGTTCAGAGCACAGGGCATAGTGCTGTTTTCTGCTGGTGCACTGACATAAAAGATACCTTACAGTTTAACTTGTATAGTGGCCACCACTATAGGAAAAGGGCGGGCTGGTCTGGAGTCACTCTTGTTCCTGTAGCACCGTCGTCTTTGGTTTCATCATCTTTTCATTCATTCTAGATGATCTTGAACTTTGGGACATTTCCTTGGAGACCACTGACCTTAACAAGTTGATGTGTCACAAAGCAGCAGGCCCACCAGCAGCACACCAACCCCCCGAGACGCCCCGCGGATGCCACCAGATGACAACTCGTAACAGAACGCCCCAGAGAATGCATTCTCACAAACCTTCCGTGAGGTTTGCACAGTTGCAGCCATCTGCTGCTCTCATGGGCAGCAGCCACGGTGCCAACCAACACACACCAGGTAGGTGCTGTGATAAATGACTGAGTTCTTTCTGTCCCAACAACAAGCTTTTAGCTTTGAAAGCTTTGCTGTCATTACTAATCTGGAATGGGAGAGGCATCCCTCTTTTGTGTGGAGTGCTGTGATAGCAGGCTAGGACTCTTTTCATCCAACTGTCTTCTCAGGGAAGAGCTAAAGAGTAAATCAATGAGTACTTTTAGAAGCAAATCACAGAATGGTGCGGGTTGGGAGGGACCTCAAGGATCACAAACCCTACTACAAGGATTCCAGCCCTACTGCCACATGCAGGGCCACCAACCTCCACATTTCATACCAGACCAGGCTGCCCAGGGCCCCATCCAACCTGGCCTTGAACACCTCCAGGGACGGGGCATCCACAGCCTCTCTGGGCAGCCTGTTCCAGCACCTCACCACTGTCTCTGTAAAGAACTTCCCCCTGACATCCAACCTAAATCTTTCCTCCTTCAACTTAAAACCATTTCCCCTTGTCCTGCTGCTATCAACCCTTTCAAAGAAAAGCTTTAAGAAACTTCCCTTTCTCACTCTCTCCCTGTTCAGCAGAGCAGAGCCCTCACAGGAGAAGCCAGAGCTGGAAGAAGCGGAGGCTAGAACCTACATAGGACACCTGGTGGCATCATTACCTAAATGCTGGATTACATCATAAGACTGCAGTTGGCTGCTCAAAGTATGTGAGGAAGCTTCATCTATTAATAGATTGTCCTGAAGCAACACAGAATAGCCAGAGAGACACAGCCAGCAAGAACTTCATGTGCTTTGGGTTTATTACATAGCCCAGATTTTTTTTTTCTATAAACACATCATCATTTGTGCTCCTGCACAACTCGTGGCTGTTTTACAAATAATTTGCCTGAAAATTGTAGCGTAAGTAAACCTTCAAATGAGGCACCATAGCTTCTTTCCTGCTCAGCGTTGCATTTTGGCATACAGAAAATTTTTTCCAAGAAAATGAGGGCAGGGTGGGCCATGGTCCCAGGAAAGCAGACAGAATGCAGCCTTGCATTCCCTCGGGCATTTTGCAGTTGTGGCAGCCTCTGCCTTTCACATGCAGCCCAGCTGCCTGCCCGGAGGCTGCACAAGCAGGGTCAGAGCATTGCCCTGACAGCTCTGCCTCAGCTCACCCCTCAAGCACACAGCATCCCCAGGAGCAGCAGCAGCACGTCCACCTGTGCCCATGCAGCACAGGGGCAGGAACACGCGGGGGCTGCTAGTGAGGAGTGCATACAGCCTCTAAGTGCTTGTTTGGACCTTTTGTGAAATGAATGAGAGCCGCAATTTTATACTTTTAAATAAGCTTTTACTCCTTTTTAACACGGGAATAAACACTAAATTTGGACAGACAAACCAAGCTTGTTATTTGTGCCTTCTTCCTATTCAGTTCCAACTGTTTAACAAGCTCAGAGAAGCTTGTGAGCAGGTACAAGTAGAAAGCTAGAGATTGCCACTGCATGCACAGCTTTGCATTTGCTTTAGTATGGGCAAACAGAAAGGTTCAAGTGGATTTTAAACATGAGAGCAAAACAACAGTTGCTCCTCTTAGTAATAAGGTCAAAGCAAGATCTTTCAAGCAGCATTTAGGAAGTCCTCTGTGCCCAGCTTCAAAGGCCCCGCTCTGGTAAGAAAACGGTTCTGTTGGGCAGCTATTGGGTCTCTTTCTCTTCTGGTGAAGGGACTCAGCTGCAGCCCCTGCTGTCTCAGGCAGGAGCTGGGCACCGCCAGCCAAGCAGTGGCAGCACCCTCCATGCCTAAAGCAGCCTGAGCCCAGGACTTGAGAGGGGAAGCTGGTTCTGTGTTACCTAGCGGCAGCACTGGAAGGATGGTGCAGCATGGCTGGGGCTGGACCCAGGAAAACTGACACCAATTTTGACTAATCCGACCCTAAAACTGATGTCAGACTTGAAACAGGACCTTATTTCTGTGCTCTATCATTACCGTTCTATCCAGATGAGTTTCGTAAAGCAATCTAAATGTTACCCAGGAGGTATGAAGCATTGACTCCTGTCCCTCCTACTTCACCTTCGCCACTTATCAGTCCTTTTTTCTTATGCGGCCTCTATTACCCACTCACCTCTCAAACAGGACAAACAAGGACCGATGTTGGTACCAAAAGACAGGACAAATGAAATTAACTGTCACAGATCATTACCTAGAAAACAGTTTCAGATTTCAGCAACATTGGTTTCTCTCCAACTCAGTGCTGAGTGAGATCAGAGCAGCTCAGGAAAGAAATACATACCACACATCTGAGTCATGCGCCCAGTGTTGAAATAAGATACCTGTAAGGAAGGGAATGTGCAGACACACCACTGCTGTGTTCAGCAAAGCCTCCCCCAGCTCTTACAACAGAAAACCTGAAAGTCTGACAATTTCATCAGCTTTCTTGACAGCAGAACAGTGCGAAGAAAGAGATGCCTCCTCCAGAGGGGGTCAGTACCTCTCAAATTGGTCCTTCTTTAAAAAAAGCAGTAACGTTCATCCATGGAGCTTTTCCTTTAAGGACTTGAGCAGCATGACTCATAACAGAAGCTGTTCTTAAAATGGAAAGAAATGCAGCAGTAATTAGTGTTTAGAAATACCAAATAATTCCTGCGAGCCTACAGCTGCTTGAGAACAACTCCGTATAGCTCCACTCTTACACTGTACAGGTAGAGTTGCAAGTTTGGGGATGGCATTCAGACCGAATCTAGACTAAAGGCAGCACCCGGCACCGCAGCTCAGCCCCACTCCCTTCCGACCCAGAGAGGAGAAGAGCCGACCCAACAGGAGAGGTGGAGCAGCCCCGCTCCAGCTTTTCTATCCGTAACTGTTATCAGCTGTGTAGCAGTTAAATCACTGCAGGAGCAGGGAGGAGAGGCCCACAAGAAAACCCAGCACTCAGCAAAGCAGGTTGGTTTCTTTCAGTGACTTGACGCGATATTCCACAGAGGTGACAAATTGCAGCACAAAGCACAACCATAGAAGGAGAGCAGCTGGGGTGACGCTGCCAAATACGCAACTAACTGTGGCCAGGGAAGCCCAAAGGTTCAACTTTTTTATTTTTTTTATTTTATTTTATTTTTTTTTACAGTGTACATTGTTAAATAATGTAAAGAAAACGCTTGTAATTCAGAAACAGATTTTATGTGGAAAAAGATACTCAAAGTGTAATATTAAACAAAATAATTTAACAGTTCAGTAGCATTAGTTTATTCCTCTAGACTTCAGTTATTCATCCACAGGAAGGGGGGAGGGGGAATCAATGGTAAATAAAACCAGTTCTTGCATAACATTAAGTGAAAACAACCTCAAACTTATTAGATCAAAATTAAATAACCACGTGCTGCGTTCAGCTTCATCGTTCCCCTGCCGTGAGTATTCCCCTTGTGTGTCACCACTGCCTCGGGCCGACAACCGCTCCTTTTCCTCAGGCACACCTCTCCCCTTCCACCGGGTGTATTTGGGAAACCAATGCACCATTCAGGGCACAGAGCAGAGCCTTCCTGTCCAACCTCAGCAGCAGGGCCCCCCGCTTCTGCCCCTTCCCACCACACTCACGCCACGAGCCTCTCTCCTCTCCCCTTCAGCAGCTCCACTCCGCACTGAGGTCACAAAGAACGAGCCTCCAAACCTAAGGATCTCAGAGCCCAGGCTCTCTGCTGCTGGCTTTCACCCTCTGGCATCTCTCTCCACCCAGGTATGGTGGCCCTTGCTGCCAAAACTGCTGGGGAAAAAAAAAAAAAGTAACAGGAAAGAAATGGATCTCGCACATCTCTTTGCAAAAAATAAAATAAAATAAAATAAAAATTCAAGTGAGAACACTCACAGACAGAAAAACTCCCTGTTAAGGCTCCACAGGGGAACAACACTCTCAGGAAAAATGATTTGGGCAAGGAACAATCTCCTGGGTGCACCAACTTCCAGACACCAGCAAGCTGCCCCAGTGCTGGGAAGCAGCAGTGATCCTTCACAGCTCTTTGCAGCACTGTGTAAAATACTGGCTGGTATTATTTTAACTTTGTAGAGGAAACCAGTATTCTTAAATATGAAAAGGGAGAATGAACACAGCAAAGGTACAGTACAGCTAACTAAGAGGTGACGGCTACAGTCCTGGTACCAGCTGGAAATCTGTTAGAGTTGGAGCATAAATCCTCCAACTGAGACTGAGGAAATTTCTTGATGCCGGCTGTTTCAAGTGCATCCATTGCCGGCAATGGACATTGTGCCAGGACGACTATTCCTGGCTTCAATGGATAAAAAAAAAACAAACCCATAAAACACAACAAAACAAAGAAAGAAAAGCAATCCCAGCAAGACAAGCCCACGCCAACGAGGAACGGCACCTCTCCCTCAAGTCACATCCTGACCAAACACCTTCACCACTTCACAGGTGGAGTCACACTGCATCTTAAGTGGGACCCTTCCCATAGACACTCCTTCTCCCCATCCTCTCCATTCCTGATCCAGACCTCCTGCCCCTACACAACGGCGCTTCGTCTCATTCTGGCTTCACGCACAACCCTCCGTCCCACCCCACCTGGCCCTCATCGCACCACCAACATCGGGTCACCCCCTCGGCCAAGTTTCCCAACACGCGGAGCCTGCTTGCGCCCCGCTGCACCTCCTCTAGGCGCTATCGCGCTATCGCCATCGCTACGCCGCCGGTCAGGCCCCCGTCCACAGGTACAACCAACGCGGCCTTCTCTGAACTTGCCCTCTGTCCACCTGGGGTCTGCTGGGAAGACAACGCTAACTGCAGAAGCAATAGAAGTCCAAGGCACTAAAATATCCAGCAAGCATACTGGGAGAACAGACAAGTATTCAAGTACATTAATTTATACAATTTTACATTCACATTTATTTATCTAATACAATGAAAATACAAAGGAAAAAGTTAAAGTGTCTCCAATAAGTATAAGGATATAGCTAGCTTTTTTTCCCATTTTTTACTTTTTAACTTTTTTAACCCTCTATATTCCACTCATTTTTAAACTACTGTTGTCCAACAACATTTATATATCACAGTGTTTCCACATCAAAACTGATGGTAAGTACATGTCCGCAGGGAACTTTTAAAATCTTTAAACAATTTAAATTGCTCTAATGCTGCAGTCAAAGCTGTTAATATCTTACTTAAAGCAGTAATGACCTATCAAGCACGGGCTGCACTGCAAGTCCATTCGGGTGCCCCATCGTTCTGGAGCCAAATACGATCGAGTGGGGAGAGGGAGAGGAGGGGGATTTGGACAGCTGGTCTCGGATCTTCAGGGAGAGAAGTGTGCTAAAGCCTCATGCTAGGATTCAACTCTCCCATCTTGACATACGCGGATTCGGCCTCAAACCAGAGAAATGTTACAGCAAGACTGCGTTAACTGCCCCCGTCACTGATCTTCACGGCTCTCGCTTCACACGAGAGCGGGACCCCTCAAGTCAAAACAACTGTCCCATCGTAAGGACGCCGATCATCCTCCTCCCCCTTGAAAGCATGTGGGGAAGCCCCCTTTACAGAAAGTTAACAGCAATGGGTGGAAAAGAGAAATTCATTCCCAGTCTGGCAAGCAACCAGTTCATTGCAGCACTAGGAGTTGACAAAGGGCCCCGTCTCCCTCCCCACGTCCCGTCCCGAGGTCTAGCCAGCACGGTCTCCGAGCGGGGCTAAGTGGTCCGCAGGTTGGAGCCTGGAGGGTTGCTGATGGATTTCTGCAAACCGCTGATGTTGAAGCTTTGCAAAGACGCGGCACCTACGGGCTGGAACTGGCCAAGTGGTTGCTGTGCCGGACCGCTCGTCCCGCTCCACGGAGCGGCAAAAGACGCTGCTGGGTAACCGTACTGCTGCGGAGGGCACATGGCCTTCGTGAAGGGACCTAAAGAGGTAGCTGATGCTGCAGAGATGGGCGTAGCACCCAGGGAAGATGTCATAGAGATACAGAGCTGACCTGGTGCTGAGAATTTTCTTGCCATTCCAGGGCCCTGAAAGAAAACCCAACCTCCAAGTTAAACAGCTGCTCTTACAAACCACCGGCTACCCCCGCAGGCCACTCCAAATGGCTGTCTGGAAGAACACATCATGGCTTTACTCTCTTTACTCTTCAGTTATCTCTCTTCCCTTCCAGAGCACGCAATATCACACTGTGCACACAAGGTTTACCCAACATTTCTGTAGCGCAGTTGTCCAGGATACGTGGTGACTGTACTCCACCTGGTTGACACTCTGACATAGCAAGATGACCCGACAGTCACAGCCATAAACATTTATGGGTTAAAACTTACCTCATAGTTGCTATGCCCTTTGCCAACTTTCTTGCCAGACAGGTTCATGGCATCTCGGGCCCAGTTATCTACCAGCTTGTGCAGGTCGTCTGTGAAAGTCCCTTTTCGGCTGGAGGCAATAGCAGTAGGCTGAGACTGGGGTGCTTGGCTGTTCACTGTAGCCCCGACTGCGTTAGTGCTACTGGTCCCTAAAAACACAAGAAATGGGAGTCAAAATGTGGGGTCAAGATCAGCTTCCTCCAGTGAATTTAATAATCGTGGCAATGGTACAACGATAGAGAGCCAATTAAAATGCCATGCAGCTTAAGTCTAGGTTTCAATTTCAAGACAAGCTGAAGTAGGAACTATGAGGACTCCTACAGGCATTTCCTCAGATTATTAATATTTCACAGATGTTTCCTTCAAGAAGTCCTGCAAGTAGTCATCTTTACAGGGGAACAGCAGCAGCCTATAGGTCTTTGCAGAAGAAAAAGGAGATTAGATTTCAGCACCAGATGACAGTAGTCGTGTCATTCTTTCATCCTATACCATTTAATTAGCAGCAACCACTACCAGCACAAGTCAATTCCACCTTAGAGGACAATGCTGGATGCTGAATATGGAGTACTACAAACAGCACAGCCAGCTGCTCTGTAGAAAATTATCTCCACTTCATAAAATGAAGAGGAAAAACTCACTCAGATTACACAAAAAGCCACAGTGAGATACAACAACTGTTGTTTCCAATAGCTGCCATACTTGAGCATAACCAGACAGGACTGTCTTCATCCACTAAAGAGGGGGGATCAGCAGGGGAAGTCTGCACTGTGTTAAATTTTGCTTTTTGCCTCTGAAAGCACTTTTTTGCCATTATGTTCAGATTTCCTAGTCTGAAGAACAAGCATTTCAATGCAAATGAATAACACAGCTTAAAGAAGGCAGAAATGAGACCAGTTCCTTGGATGTGCTTTGACACGAATTTCTGTTCACTGGGTTGACCACAAGAACAAAAGCCCCACACATGAATACTGGGAATTTGGTGCTTCTAGAAAGCTGGCTGAACAGCACGCTGCAGAAAACATCCAGAAGTTCTGTGTTTAGTAGCCTTACTCACTGTCTCACCCTAATAAGCACACAGCTTCACTCAAAATGAAGCTTTTCACAAGACAGATTACATAGCAGTAGCAAAAGTTGTTTATTATCAGGTAATAATTCTGAATTCCCAGCAGTACCTTCATTTCAGATGCGGAATGAATACATTCCAGAAGTATCTTCATTTCCAGATGTGGGACCAGTAGGACCGTGGGGAAGGCAGAATGAATCTACATTTCTCAAATCCACTTGGCTCAAAACCAACTAAACATAATTAGTTCCTGTCAGTGTAGAGCTAAACCCTGCATTCACAGCAAGCATCTTCACCTAACTGGTTTTCAAATAGCCTCATATATTTCTACCTGCTTGTTCCGAAGGCTGCAATTGGGAAGCCCAGGATAACCTGAGCGTACGGCAGAATTTCTGGAGAAAACTGATTTAAAAAGTTGAGGATCAAAAATCCTAGCAAAGACAGTCATCTCCATTGCCAAGGCCGAATGACAGTCGTTGTCTCCTGTCTGACAGCTGATTTCTCAGGAGTGGTGCTGCAGTGGCACAGGCTGCCCAGGGAGGTGGTGGAGTCACCACCCTGGAGGTGTTCAGTAACAGTGTGGATGTGGCACTGAGGGACACGGGCAGTGGGCACGGCAGGCGTGGGCTGCTGATTGGACTCAATGATTTCAGATGTCTTCTCCAACCTTAATGATTCTGCAATTCTAATTCCTCCGTGCTGCCCTCCCTGGCTAGCTGCCCCACTCCCTGCAACCATGGCATCAAAGAATGAACTGGCTCCAAACCCCTGCAGGAATGCTTTATAATAAGGAGTGAATTAGGAAGGTGACATACTTACTACGCAGGACAAATAAGCAAAGTGTTACCGCCTCTAGTAGTGCTGAGGAGGGAAGGACACAACTCCCTCCCACCAGATCCAGCTCAAGCATGGAGATGGCTCCCAGTGAGGGTGCTCACCAGAGGGACAGCAGCTGTTACATGCAGGCAGAGGCATGCAACAGTGCACAGGGAAGGAGAGAATAGGGTTCCCTGACCAGGGAGTGCAGCTGCAGCTCAGATGAATGCTAACAGAAACATACCATAAGGTGAAAAGGAAAAATCTACAATAAAATAATGAAAACTTTAAGCATGCACCACATCTTATTTCATAATAACAGTGACCAAGAAAAAGAAGGTGAAATTAAACACAAAACAGACAAAAATAACAAAGAGGTACTCAAGATGAGGTGTGGAACCAGTAACGACCACATTCCACCATGAGGGCTCATGCAGGGATTGATACACTCACTCTCATACTCTTCATGATGGCCAATATCTGGTTCTCGTGTCACATATTTCTATGTTAATCAATAAGTGCACAGCTGGCAACCTGGGACCGTGGCTCTATGCTTGAAGAGCCTCTTCAGGCCGTGCAATGGAGGGAGTTAATTACAAAATACTACAGAACAATCATCCAAAGATGTGAAAAATCACTTAGAAAAGCTGAAGTGTTCTGAAGAGGACTGGCTGAGTGTTTAGTCCAGGGTTTAAGGCAGATAGGAAAGGTGGGGGGCAAAGAACTTTATCTGAAAAGTGATTTTAGTATGGAGCTCCAATTTCAAGTCACAGACAACTTGAGGCAGACCAACCTACGCTATAAGAGGTGAGCTGTAAAATTACTGGGAGCTCCCACAGTATCAGTGTAAAAACTGACTTCTTAGGAACTTCACATTTTAACCCTGATGTAGTTGCTGCCTACTGAAGCTGCCATCCAGAAGAGTGTGAGAAGGAAGCGTTTCAATTTGTGGCATTTAATGGAAACAAACCCCCGCATTCCTGCTTGGTCACAGCAGCCGTCCTCAGTCCTACTCTGACATGAGGGACCTGAAGTGAAACAGGCTTCTGCTTCTTTAGCCTGCCACCTACAGTGCCTTCATTTTACACCCAGCCTTCTTTTTTATTATTATTATTGTTAAATCTCACCATGAGTAACAAAGGCACTGTCAAAAGGCACCTTTAAGCCGTTTTCAGTGACGTGACCACATGCTGGCTTCTCTAGACATCTCTTACTTCAGGACACGGATAGAGGTCAGATGGCTTACTCTTGCAACGCTGAAGGACACTCTGCCATTGGAGCTGTCACTGAGATGGCAGAACCCATCAGATACGTACAGAAAGCAGCTGCTCAAAGGTACAGCATTAGCACATCGCAGTGAGCAGCTGTCCTCGATGCTCAATTCACTGTTATTAGCAGGGAGCAAGGAGTTGCTCAGGGAAGGTGAGGCTCTGCCTCCACTCTTCTGCAAAGGTAATAGCCACGCTGTACAGCTATGCTAACAACAGAGTACACATTAGAGGGCATAACAGAGACAGACAGATGCTGTGCTAGAGACAGAGTCAGGGAGGCAAGGCTTCGGTGACCAGAAAAAGCCAATGAACAGCTTTACAGTCAGGAGTTGGAGATAACAGAAATAAGATAATTACTACAGAGCTGGTTGCAAGGACAGACTTTTTTCACCATCTTCCCTGAAGCACAAAGAGAGAGTCATTTGTTAAAGATAAGAGAAACAGTGAGAAATGTTTAGTATCAGCAAACAGTACGAAAAGCTTGGTGAGAAACAGAGGGCATGGCACAGCAGGGCTCCTGAAAGTTCTGGTATGTTCTAGGAAAAAGCCCAAGATTGCTCTGACAGTTTCGTGGGCTGTATTTTCAGAAAAAGAAATGGTTTGGCCTTCTGCATTTATTTCTCAGTATTTCAGAATTCCCAAACTGCAGTGAGGAATGGCAGAACACATTAAGGTTTCAACTGCCTGTTACTACAAAAGCAAAGCAAATACATCTTGCATTTTTGTCAGGGCGCAGAAAGTATTTCACAGCTATCAAGTTTGACCGTCATCAAGTGAGAAGAATTTGATAAGCCAAGTGCACTCATGGTTCGTCACCTTGTTCTCTCAGGCCTCCCCAGATCTGTGGGACAGACCTTCCCTGCCAGGCTGTACCACTCTATTTCTCCCGCCGCGCAGTTACAAGCATCAATTACTGCACTGTTTCCTCAACGCTGCTGATTCGAACCCAGCATCTTTCCCAGTTGTCACTCTCCATAACAGTCTGCAATAGCACTCAAAGGACAGGACTCCAGGAAGCAAGCAGCCTGTAATGAGCTGAGCGCCAGGCCAAGCTGTGCCATGCCTCTACGAGTATGACCTGCTTTTGCAGGACAGCTACAACACGCACTTCAAAAAGAATCCATTTTTCTTAGCACAAGCCCCACAGGTAGAGGATATGCCAATGTATTCTTAGAGCCAGATGGTGCACAATTTGCAGCAAGCCAGAGCCTTAGAAGTACATGACGCTCTCACATTCAGTTCACTGTCAATTCCAGAAGTAGAGTAGTTGTTCATTACAAAGGATGGGGCAGCCAAGAGAGGATTTTGAAGAGTTAACTTTGGTAAGCATGTGAGTATTTCCAAGAAAGGAGCTGCTAAGTCTTTGAACTGCAGATGTTTGTTACTGCACATCTGCACAGTAATATATCTAAAATCCAATGAGGTATCACTGCAAAATTCAGCAGCCACAAATATGTTTCCCCTCTCTGACTCCACTGCCTTAGAAGATCGTGCTGGTTGTATTGCAGCTGTCTCTGCAGAAGGCCACGTCTTGTTCCTGCACACAAATCTCTGGCTGCCAAGTGCAGCTCGACAGATGCTACAGATGCATGGTACATTAGGCAGTGCAGCAACTGAAGGTCTCTTTTCAGCATTCGGAACTCTCATATCAACTCATTCTGGAGTCTGGGAAACAAATGTCAGAGCATTCAAAGGGTCCAGCCTGCAGCAGCAGCATGGGAGATGTCGCAGCCCCCCGCCCCCCCCCCCCAAAAAAAGAAGCATTGCAGCAGCAGCCTCAGCTCAAGCACACTGTTAGTTCAGACAATCACATCAGAAGTTTGAGGCTCTCTTTTTTAATCTGGCGTAGTGTAAGCACCAGTGAAAAGATGTTGAGAAAGGCTGCAAGGTAACTTGCAAGGGTTGACAGAATGTCTGAAGATGGCCATTTCCCCACCTGCACTGCTATGTGTGCATCATATTTAATCTGACTCTGATTCACACTAAGAGCTTCTAAATCTGTGGCCCATTTGAGTTGACCTGAAAATATTCTGTAACTATTTTTAAGTTTCAATCTTTTACTCTCCATCTGTGAATGAACACAAAAAGTCAATGTTAACTGCCTACAGGTGGCATCAATGCTCTGCACTGTGATCAGCACTGGTGCTGACAGCATGCATAAACACCCAACTTGCACAGCAAGCACACTGCTGGAAGGAAGCAACACATCCCCTCCACCATCAGTTACAACAGTGCCCAACAAAGGAATAATTTGGGAAACAAATCTTCCTCACTGTTTCTTTCTGAAGGAAAGAATAGTTCCCCTGCAAGTCTCATGGCAGCTAACATATACTGAAGCGTAATTAATAAGCAGGCCAAAAGAAAAGGCCCAGTGTACTACATCTGGCAAGCCAACCTCAATTTCTGCCATTTCACTGACCTGCCCAGAAAAGTTTCCACCAAAAGCTTAGAGAAATCAGTGTTTGTTAAAACAGTTTCAAAACAGAATACCTAACACGAGAACCCAAACTTCCAAAGGTATGCTAAGAGCAACTCAGCCTAGCCATGGAATGGAAGGGAATACAAGGTGGCACATGAGGATGGGCTGCATGAAACAGATCCAAGCAGCAGAAGAAAACAAAAAGACAAAACAAAAAAGACAAGGAAGGAGTAAAGGTGTTACACACAAAGAGCCAAGCAGGGCGTACTCAGAAATCGGGTCCTCCTGCCACCAGGCTTGAACGTCACTCTCTCAGATGCACAGTTAAACTTCGCACAGCCTGTGAGAAAACAAAAACGGGAAGAACAGAGAAAGGAGAGGAGAAGAGACAGAACACCACTACAAGATGTTAGCAACTTGAGGTTGGAAGGGTGAAATGCATTAACATGGCACACAAGAGTAAGCTTCCAAGAGCAGACCACAAAGTATGCAGACAACATACGGAGTGAAGAGACTCGCCTTCAATACAGCGGACATGAGGCCAAGTTTGCTGTGTTAACCTCCAGTTTATAACCCAGCAATGGGGTTTCCATTGGTAGGAAAGCCGAACGCCAGCAAAAGCGTCTGATTGTAGAAGATACTGCACAACTCTAGATACAAGGAGGTGCAAGTAGCTCCAAAATACTTGAGCAGTTCAACACAAAAATCTCTACGGAAAATTCTTCCCAAAATTCTTTCAGAAAGTCGATTTCTGTTTTCCGTTTGTACTTCTCCAAATTCAGCAGTAATATTTGTTTCATTTGATGCATTTAATCAGTCGATGGTAAAGCTTTTCAAAAAGATGCTAACGCATAAAAAACTGAAGCAACTACTTTCATAGAAGCAAACGAATCAAACTATCATCTCCTGAGGAACTGACAAGGAAAAAAGTCCTCCCTCCAAAATAGATCAGGGCTGAGTGAGAGATGACCTGACACTACCTAAGCAATCCACAACTTGAGTAAAATGAACATTTTATTCCTACACCATTCCATCCTCCTATGCTGCTGACCAGGATAACTCTTTAACGCATAAATGAAGAACATAATTCTTCTTTTTTTCCTTTTATTGCCAAAAAATTTTCAACAGAAACAGCCACAGCAGTTTCAAATTCAAGAAAGAGTGAGTCTTCTGAAATTTTCCTACCATTTCAATTACCTATTATCAACAAAGCTATTCTGCCTCATCCTTAATCTCACATTTGAACCCACCTTTCCTCTACCTCTCTCCTTTGTTTCCTCACCCTTTCAGCCAACACCACCTTCTCTCAGGTCAGAAGAATATTGCTTGCCACCACCACACTGCATTCTCTTGTGTTCTCCTTGGTGTTTTCATTAGACAGGGCCACATGCTATATATTAATTATTTTAACGTTCCTGGCACCTTCTGTTTATGTGAGAAGCTAGAAATGTAGTTGCAAAACATACACCCTTTTCAGTTTGCATGCATTGGGGTCAAATGCCCTGTCTACTTTATGACGTGTATTAAACATCAAGTGGCATCAAGTAGATTGCTCTTTCAGCAGTAAAGGTACAAGACTTGACACTAAATCCATCTGAAGTCTTACCTTGGCCTGGCGCAGAAAGGCTTGGTACTGAAAGGGCACCATCACTGGTAAAGGCAGAGTAGAGGTTTTCGCTGGAAGGTGAAGGTTTGAGGGGCTGTAACAAATGATTCTGTCCAGTCTCTGGCACACTACCAGGAGGATGAAGAGTCTGTTGCGGGGGCAAGACTGATGGTGCACTCTGAGCTGACAAATTGCCTGGAGAAGGAATGAAGGCAAAACACAATGAACCTTTCAGGTTCCCCGTGTCATTTTCTGAGCTTTTTTTCAGTGCACCCAATGGAGAACAGCAAAACGTATGACTGAGTTATTATGCTAGCAATGGAGAAAAGTGCAGGGGTGGGGAAGTATACTCATCCTCTGGACTTGACAATTCCAGGTGAGAGAGAGGCAGGGGAAGGACTACACCAGCATATAAGAAAGTATTAAGACTAAAATAATTTTTCTTTACTTCAATCTTAAGGGAACTCACTGTCACATGCTCACACAGAGTTCCTCTTTCATATAATAAACCAGAAGTGAGCACAGTGCAACTGGATACAGATCCTCATACACGACATGGAGCTGCCAAAGTCAGAGTGTGAAACAAATATTTCCGCTTACGGGCAGGATTTGAGTGACATCTACAGATAGATAACAGATAACATCTGACACCCATGTCAGTCAGGCACAGAACTATTTTTCAATTTATTGTAAAAATTGTCTTAATGAGAAATGAAGCCTTGATAACTGAAATCTTCTTAATTTGCGAAGTACAAAGAATTGTCACTCCCTAAAACTTCACTACTTTAACATCCATCAGTTGTGACTTTGATTTCTGGCAATACCATGCTTAAGTGCTCTTAAGTACGAAAAATCATTTTTGAAGATGGGTGAAGATACCATTCCCATTCTATAAAACCATTTTCAGGAGAAAACAAGAGTAGTTGATGCCCCATTCCTGGAGACTTTTGAGGCGAGGCTGGATCAGGCCCTGGGCAACCTGATTCAGCTGTGGTGTCCCTGTTCATTGCAGGGGAGTTGGACTAGATGGCCTTTAAAGGTCCCTTCCAACTCTAAGGATTCTATGATTTTATGGGGAAAAAAAAATTCCCTTTGTAAATTTATACTTTACACTCTGGATTGATTCCCAGTCCTCTTATAGCCCTATCACTAATCTCAAAAAAACAAACCAAACCAAAACAAACAAAAACAAAACAAAACAACCCATACCCACAATTTTAAACTGCTCTTACAAAACAATGTAATATAGTTTAAGTAAATTGCAAAAGGCAAGACTATCAACTAGCAAAAGCAACTTAAATGACTTTGTAGTCCAGGCAGTGGAGGAGCTTGGAGTAGGGAGTGCAGGAGAGCAAGGTGCAGCAGAAGAATCGTATCAGTCTGGAAGTGACTGGTAGAACTGACTTTGTCAGTTCTATCTTATTTATAAAAAAAAAAAAGTGAGAAAGCCTTACCTGACAGCTGTGGACTCTTATTTCCCTGGGAGCTGCTACGACTGGATTTGCTGCTTTTTCCTTTAGTGGGTCGTCTCCTCCTTCCTGAAAGGGGTGCAGCAGGGGGAATAATGACTGCAGGTGGGACCTTTCCTAGTTTTGTGTATAGTGATTCAATCTCCTGCTTCTGGCGACTCTGCAGCTCCTGGATCTCTTTAAGGTGCCTAACAAGTTGCAAGAGCATCACTTACAAAACTGTATGCACATAGCTGTAGCACATGTAACAATCCCTCCCCTCCAGTCAAGCTTGACCAGCTTGTTTGGTCAAACTCCCACAAACATTTAAGAGCAGATGAAATAAATCCCTTCCACAAGCAATCGCTGAATACATATGGCAAAATGCTTGTTTTTTTTCCATTTTGTCTAAAAATGACTAGGAATTCCAACACAAAGTTTCCAGCATTGTAATCTCAAAACCAGAATAAACATATGTATAAACAAGAACACACAGCAAACAAACCAATCAAATCATTCATCATAAATGCTATAGGAATAGCTAGAACACTGTTTTCTGAAACATATGGCATTGGAGGCTTCAACATTCATACTGAAGCATTTTTTTCAGAGCAGTTGCCAGCTGTCCTAAAAAGTCAGTTTTCAATATAAGTTCAATATTAAGTCACATTCTTTGACTTCTCAATTTTCTTCTAAATCAACAGGGATTCTCCAGGAAGTGGAGAACACCAGAATCACTTACTAGAAATGCAAAGTTGATTGCCACTTTCAAGACAGACAACAATATTTCCACTATCTACTAAATTTCAGAGATATGCAAAAACTTCTGTACATCTACATAGATTTATCCACAGCGTTCTGTATTTGAACACACACACTGAGATTACAGATTAGAAAATTAACATACCAAGTGCCTGTTGTTTGGGATCATTATGTATTACTTTTCCACTAAATAATTTTATTTCCCATGTAAACACTGACAGTGGGTCCTGACACTTAAGAAAGCTTTAGTTTCTTTTTAAAGAAGGCCAGCTTTTTTCCTTTGTGAAAAGTGAAGTCCAGAGGAAATGAAATGAAATTCATATTAAGCCTTTGCTACACATTTCACACATGCACAAGGGAAGGAAAAAGCCTTACTTCTCCCGTAATCGACGGAGTTCCAATTTCAAGTCTTCATCTTCAATATCTGACTCGTTGTCACTGCTCATGTAGGAAGAATTGAACGAGTTGCTAAGACTCTGAACAGGGAGGCTGATCTTTGATGCTGTGGCCTGGAGGGAGTCTGGACTCGCTGAGCCATCATCCAGATCCTTAGCCATTCCACTCAAGAAAGCAGCCTCTGGTTCAGAGGACGGACCATTCATATGTGGGGACTGCCTCGACTCCAACTCTTTCCTAGGGGCTGCAGCTGAAGAAGCAACTTGTTCCAAGTCCACAGAGAGAGGGAGAGTCATTGGCTCTCTCTCTGCACAGGTGACCTCATCCTGAGTCTTTGACACTGAGAAGCGCCCCACTTGATCTGTTGTTGTTGTTACCTGGAAGCGTCCAACCTTAGTAGGCTGACCATCGTCTACTGGCAACTGCAGCACAGGAACTGGCTGAGGAACGCCATGTGCCACAGCCTCGCTTTTCCGCCCTCCAGCCTGCTTTACCAGGGTGCTCTCTGGACTGCTCCCAGAAAGAGGGGAGGAATCAGAGGAGGTGGTTTCAAATTGCAGCGGCTTAGTCTCAGGTTTGTCACTCTCTTTCAGCACATCATCCACTGCCACAGATACCTACAACAGAAATGCAATCATACAGACCTTCTAAGTTCTTCCTTAACATGATGCACTTATTTACATTACATAGCAGAACCATACAAGGGGGGAAAACAACTAGTTGCTCACTAGTTGCTTGGTGAGGATTTTCTATGAACATCCAAATCAGTTTAACATGGAATCATAGAATGGTTTGGGTTGGGCTGGACCTTTAAGATCATCCTGTTCCAACCCCCCTGCTATAGGCAGGAACACCTCCCTCTAGACCAGGTTGCTCAAAGTCCCATCCAGCCTGGCCTTGAATGCTTCCTTAGAGGGGGGGATCCACAACCTCTCTGGGCAACCAGTTCCAGTGTCTCATCACCCTCCCAGAAAAGAATTTCTTCCTGATATGTAGTCTAAATCCACCCTCTGCCAGTTTAAAGCCCTTTCTCCTCATCCTATCACTACCTGCCCTTATCAAAACTCCCTCCCAGCTTTCCTGTAGACCCCTTCAGGTCCTGGAAGGCTGCTATAAGGTTCCCCCAGAGCCTACCTGAAACCGTCCCATCTTAAGAATGCCAGCTCCTGTTGTTGTGGAAGCCATACCACTGCTTTCTCCGCCATACGATGCTGAAGCTAAAAAAGACCAAACAAATAAAGGAGAATGGGATTGAAAAGAAAATTAGCATGCCTTTGGATTTATGGAACCTGATCTCCTTTCTCAGCTCTGCCATGTATAATACCAAACTAAAATTTTAAAATTGTTTTTCCATAAAGTTCTGTTGTGCAGTAGACTTGCCAGAAATGTACTTTTATATTGTGATAAAAAAGGACACTTTGATTTCAAGCAAGGATGTGAAGTAGCCAAAAATAAAAAACAAATGAAATTTATCTAAGAAATAGCATATTTCAATTCCACACCCATGGTGACTACATAAATTTCAAATGCTGGAGGCAATTTCTTAATAATAGAAAAGTGGTACATTTAAGAAACGGTATAAACATTTACTCAGGGCTGCATGAAGCCTTCAGAGCTGGATCCTTAGATGGTAGCTCCTGATTTTATTATTGTATGCACTAGCAGTATAAGGTTACAAAGCTGAAAAATAACATTCTATTTTTAAACTAATTCTGTTGGACAGCTTGTTGGGTTTATTCAGCAACTTTTCACTTTGCTTACTTTTGCCTGTTAATATTAGGTAGTAAAGGAACTCATTTTCTAATAGGAAAAGGAGCTTAATGACGTAGTTATCTATCAAGCACACCAGAAAGGGACTATTTTATTTTTCTGTTGGCTTTATTAGCTTTTAAAGTTTTGTCATTGCACTTGCAATCTAAATGTTGTTTGCTAAATAAATTAGAAATAATTATAGTAGCAAATTAACAGTTTCTTTTAAAAACAAACATTTTTTAAATTGCAATGAGTAAGGGAATACTGATTGTTAAGTTTCAGGCTATTCTTGAAGTGTGGGTTGTTTGGTTGCACCCCTACTCATGCACCCCTAACAATTAAACTCATTTAGTATTGAAAGCCATTTATCATTCAAGTTTCAGTTTCAGTTACCCCAGCACTGTTCAGAAAATAGTCCTTTTTTCTTACTGTTTCTTTAATAAGTTTGGCTCCCACCCTTTTTTGTCTAAATAGAAATTAAATACTCCAATTAAGGAGAGATATCCTAAATACAGAATGCAGCATGACAACACAAAATGGAAAGGTTTTACAATTGCTATTAAGAATATCACAAGAGACAGGAAGCAGTCCTTTCAAATTATGAATTTGTACCTTAGAAGCATAATGAAGATTCTTTGCAAGGTTTAATTTATCATTCCAGTCAGCTCTACATACAGAGTTACTATAATATGCATGTTCCATTCCCTTCTCTTGGTCTACAGTTGAAAATGTCAGTTTAGTTACTAAAAACTGCAACAATTCTTAAGGAATTGTCACTGTATGACTTATCAGAAGAGGTTATATCCTTACAAGTTGCTAACCTGTTTCAGTTTTGTATTAAATGTCTGTGCTAAGAAATCATCCGAAATAACAACGGCTGTCTTACCATCTTTTAGAGGCTGTGCTGCTGTGGAAACCAGACCAGTAACTGCTGTAGATGCTACTGAGGGCACAGACTAGAAGTTCAGGAGGGAAATAAAATAAAAATAATCAGAATCAACAGTTTGATTCAACTCCAAGTAATCTACCATAGAGCATGTAACAGCATTTTTTAATTCCATCAGATCTAACAAACGATCCATCGTAGGACTAACAGAAGATCTCTTCATCTCCAAAGCAAGCAACATCAGCATCAGATTTTGCATGCCTTGCAACACAAGACTACCAGCAGAACCTCCCCTTTTACTCTGCAGAAGTAATGCATGAATAGTCACTTGGAGATCAATGTTAATCACTATCATCCTTTTCTATCATCTTTTTATATCAATATTTCAATAGACTCTTAAGACTTGAAACCTGCGCTTTAAACATCTCTCCTAAATTACGACTGACTTCCCACATAGTGCTAGTTTAGCACCCTCTCTTCCCCTGTTTCATAATCACTTCCCATTTTAGTTCTGTGATATTAATGGCTTTGCCAAAAAAGATGGGTTAAGAACTAATCCCAGAACTAGCCTCAGGATATACAGTATCTATTGCAACCTACATACTTCCTCCATTTCGCTTGGCTCTGTCCCACACACTATAAGAAGACTCTGTTTCTAATTAGAAGCCTACGGACTCGTGCAGTGATATTAAAGGCAGTGACTTAAGTGCATGAACTTGAGAAAACACTGGTTACTTGAGACTACTATTTGTCAGTATTGCAAACGTACACAGGCAGGAGCTGATGTCACTGGAACGGTCTCTGGACTAAGGGTTCTCCTCAGCTTAGCATCCAGATCTTCCAGTGGCTGCTGGGACTGATGAGAGAGGAAACAGTAAACAGCTGCCCCAGCTCAAGAAAAATACACACATTTCTAAAACTACAGCCGCATTTAATACTAAAATTTAAAGCAGTCAGCACTGTTTTTATATTTCTGTCTTTCCCTTGCTACGTGCTTACATTTAACATGTGCAACACAGGAAGGCTGAAAACAATTTAAGCAACACATTTGGATAAGCAGAAAAGAAACATTAACTGAAACATCCATTTTTCACAAAGTTTGCATTCCCACCCTTGAGAATTGTGTAAAGACAGTCTAAGTCTCCAGGTTCTACAGTCTTTGGTCTACAAGGATTACACAAACTTGTTATGACTAAGAAAACTCACAAAAAAAAAAAAAAAAATAAAAAAAAAAAAAAAAAGAGAAACATGCCCATACTTTCAAAAACTGAGGAACAAATTATCCAAAAACTGGTCTTGGGATGACATGCAGTTGGTCTGCTTGTTACGAAACTTGTACAAAGGAAAAAATGTTGCTTAATGAGCTACTGACAAAACCAGAAAGGAAGACAAACCCATTTATTCTAAGACAAGTCAATAATTTTCCAGTCCATATTATACAACAGCAGCAAAGGCTCTTAGCAGTTATCTAGATTTGATCCAATCAATCTTCTCCCATTTTGTCTCTTACACCAAGGCAGGTTTTAGAATTCAAATGAGAGGTGAAATTAGGTAAGCTGTTTGCAAGTGACAAACCAGAGAGCTGTATTTTGGCCTTTTCTATACCACAAATCCTCATAGAAACATCTACAGTAAACAGAAGAAAGCCGTTAGCAGTAGTGCTGTAGGATGAACCACACCAGTGGTTAGCGCTGCGTTGAGTTTGGGGGAAAATGATTACCAAGATAACTGGTTCTAAGCGATGACCTGAACTAGTACGAACTTAATGTGACTCATTTTAATTGTTTCCAGATCCATTTGCTACCACTGTTGGTGAATACAGATGAATTATCACCAAATTGGCATCTCCCCCCTCTTTCAGAAAATCATATTTCAAAAGAACCGGCTGAACAGTATCAAAAAAAGACTACAGGTTCCAGCAGCTGGAGGAAAAGATTCTGCTTGTTAACACTATCTCACAACTCCATATAAGACAACTAGCTTCTTGCTCAGTTTGGAGCCAGAACATACCCATTCCTAATGAATCATGTTCAGCCTACCAGAAAGCAGCAAGTAAAAGCAAATACAGTGGCACTCTCCTTTCCATGATACAATTAATGAGCAACACCCCAACTCCGTTTTTGCGCATGCAGAGCACAAATTTCTGCCTTTTCACACCACATAATACTTCCTAAATAATGGATGTATTCTTATCACTTTCAAAGATTTAAACATACTTCTTAGAAAAAAGAAAACCTAGGAGCAGCTCTGAATACAAAGGCCATCTGCAAGGACTCGCTGACTGAGCCTGGATGTATTACTATTACTAACTTGCATTTGCTCCATTACGAGGACTAAGAAGGTAGTAGAATAAGAACAGTCAAGACAAGATGCCAACTTTCAGCATCTTGTAATTCTGGCTTATTAGACTGTTTCCATTCTAACCTCTATTCTAGATCCTATGCAAACTTGTCTGAGAGATTCCCTAGAAAAATGACATCTATTGGGGTACCCAGAGAAATCACTGAATAAACGCAGCTTCTGCTCAGACAGTGTTGGAGGATAAAAAACTGTAAAATGGAAAAAGGGTCTATTAATGCCATAACCAAAATAAAAGCTGCTACCACGCCTTGCTGCTCAACTCCTTTCATGCCTTTGGAACCAGGTATTACTACATTCCTCCCATTTGAGAGACAAAAGGAAATCCTGCTCAAAAAGAATCTTTGAAGATTAGTATCCAAATATATATAATTCTGTTTTTACAGTTTTAGCTGTAGAATTAATGGAACTCATGACAGCTCATTAAGCAAACTTGCCTTAGCAGAGTTTAAATTATTTACAATTTTCTTCCATTATCCCTTTGTGTAACAGTCAATTTAAATCCTTTCAGACTGAAAAGTTCTCACAGGCTATTGTAAAGCCCAACAAAGGAACAGCTTGCAAAGAATAAAACGACCTTTTACAGGTCATTTTAAATGTCAGCACTTCCATAAGTGAAACTTGAATTCAAGAGCACTGTTTCAAGAGATGAGAGCGAGACTGTTACCAGAGTGCCAAGAAGCAGAACTTTATCAAGGTTAGCTCACAGTCAGCACTAAAATTCTGTGGTCAGAAATCCAAAAGAAGTCCAGCCAGGAAGCTAGTTAGTACAAGTCTTCGTACTGTAGCTATTATATTGGCAGTGCTTTAAAATTATAGTTAAGTCTTAAATGAATAATTCCTTTCTACGAAAAGACAGTAAAAATGCAGATTTAGATGTATTCCAAGAGTATTTTCCGCAGACCAAAGCCACAGATGGAAGAGGTGAATATTATGAAAAGTACACATACACAGGTAGTGCCACTTTTACAAGAAAATTACTCTGAGCCTCATGTAGGCACCTTTTCAACCATAATGTCTATACAGGTTTGAATAAAAAAAAAAACTAAGGCCAATTCTATCCCAAGGACATTTTATTATTCTAAAGATATAATATATCTTTATGTATCTAATATAATTCCTTCAGAGCACCATACTTCCATCTCAAAATCTCATGGGTTTTGCCTAGTTATTTTTTCAGCTGTTCTTGGTATATTGAACCATAATGTTTCCATCTTACATTTCACTGCATAGCTTTAGAAGATCCATAAAACAATTTCGTCTCATTTTTCTTCTACATTTGCTCTGTTTCTTAAAAAAAATCGAAGTGAAGGCAGTTTTAACCTCTATGATCTTGAACTGATCACCTGTCCAACTCACATATAGAACATGCAAGCTAACTGCTGCACACACAACAGAAATTGAACAAGGTGAAGCCACTGTTATATTTCAACTCCTGTTTAGGATTAGGAGCATCACAGACCTTTTACAAAACTGAAAATCTGTTGAAATTAGAGTCTCGTAGTAACCACAGGAAAAAACTTAACCAAGAACTCTGAAAACCAGTAGATCTGTATTAATGTTAACAATTAATTGTGGTACGTACAGCTTCGATGAAGAGCTACTTTGCTCCTGTAACTTTTCACTGTATGAAGAAAACTCACCTGTGTTACATTTTTACAAAAACCTCTACTGTTCAGATTGAAATACTGAATAACTTCAAGCCTGAATTACTGTTCCTGTATTTCAGACATTGAGTAGAGCAGCCCAAAGGACAAGCTAAATCTACAGTGCTGAAGCAACTCTGCCCACTGCTACGTTTACACACAAGGGGTTACTATGCCAAAAGACAAGAAAAACAGACATTAATAACATGCAATGGAGAGTTTAATCGAAACATGCCCTTTGAAAGAAAAAGAGGCAGATAAAATCTGCTGACTCGTGTAGCACCTGAGTTAGTGAAGGTCCTGGAAAAGGTGGCAGCGGCTCACTGGACGGAGTGCCAGCTGGAAGTTCAGAACCTACTGGTAGCACCTATGGATAACCAAGAGGAAACGCGAGTCCATCAGACACAGAACAACCGAAGGATCAGATACCAAGCTACGGTCAATCATGCCCTATGACACAGGCCTCTGTGTTTTTCTGTGGAGACTTCCTTCCTGGAAGGTCAGCAGAGAATCTTTGTGGAGTTCAGCAACAATGAAAGTAGGTGGCTGTTTGTCAGTTGTTTTGTTGCTGTTCTGTGGGGGCTTTTTTTTTTTTTTTATTTTTGGTTGGTTGGTTGTCTTTGTTTTACTTCTTTTGTTTTAGTTGTTTGGTTTTTTGCTTGTATTGTTCAGATCCAGATTGAGTAGTCACAATTTCCATTATAAGGAAGCTGCTCTGTCTATGAGCATAGCAACTCAGTTACTTTCTTTTCAAGTCTGCAAGAAATGCCACAGCAATATTTCTTAAATAATTTTTTTAAAAAAAAAAAAAAAGCTAAATTTCCAAGAGGCTTCATTTATTAAAAAGTGCAAGAGTGCACTCAACCTCCTCACAACAAATCTATTTTAATGGCTCATTAACAACACCAGGCCATGTGCCTCTGGCAAACAGCTCCAAGCAATTACTTGAACAGAGAAAGTCATGCCTGAGGATGTCTCCACTTGTTGAAAAGTGTATTTATCAACTTCTTACACCAATTTCCAGAGCTGTTTTGGTTTTTTTTCATTGTTGGTTTTTTTTTCGTTTGTTTTTTTAAATTAACCTGAAGGGTGTTGTGCACCCACAGAAGATGACTAGGCCATGCAATCAGATAGGGGCAGGTCATCCAGGTTATGTGGTAGGAGTTAGAGAAACTGGAAAGGTTAGAATGAGGGATCAAAGCCTCCCAGCAAGGTCAGACAGTACATTCCAGTTAGTTATTTCCATTGTTAGGGAAGTGGGAACTCCTAGGAATTAAGTGACCCATTACACAATTTGCAAGTCTTATTCTCAGCTGTAACCTTGAGGCTTGACCACAACTCCTGAAGTTTCAGAAACATAGGACAGTCCTATGAGTTACAGCATTAGTCACCTGGCTTCCCTTTATGACAGTGAACACCATTGGATGTGTGTAACTGGCCCAAAATCCTACTGTGGTCTTCAACAAGCAGAACCAGTTCTATCAATGTTATCACAGCTTAACTAATAGTTCAGATTGCAGTAATAACTGACCAGTGAAGATACTGGACACAATTATCTCTTGTTCCCAAAATGTTGTGGCAGGAACTAAGCCAAGTTGCATTACAGCAGTTTTTCTGTGTGCTGAGATCATATACACGGACATTACTGGTTCTGATGCATGGTGACTCACTAAGCTGTGGTAAATTCATCCTTTAGTTTATAAATAAGAGGCAAAATACACTTTAAATACATTCATAATACAAGTCAAAAGTGTTCAGGTTAACAAGTTGACTGCAAACAAAACACCTCCTTCTCCTACAGTGTAGTAAACCCCAGAAAAATAAAGCATTAAACTCTAGAAGCTCAAAAATGACACAAAGTGAAAATGAAATTTGAAAAAACACAGAAGAATTTAGAAGCGAAGAATTCAAAGAGGAGATATTTTTCCCTACAACAGACAGCAAAAATCCCGAACATTTATTCCATTTAAATCCAAGCACTTGTAATTATAGGTTTCCACTTTGCAAGTTTCTACCTGCTCCAATTATTCCTAAATCATTAGCTAGTTTTTACAATTTTCTGATCCTTCTTTAATTCTCAGCTCTATTTCAATATAAACGAATGGCCCTGCATCTAAGTTTCTTCCCCAGCTTCCTTGACACACTTTCCTGCTGAAGTGGCAGAAATTGTCTACTTTGCAACTGAATACAATCTAAAATGGAAAGAAGTGCCTCACTGGGCTCAAAAAGTAACTGCTGAGTCCAAGTTGTTGAATTACTTACAATTCTAGTGCTGCGCACTATGTGAGAGGAAAAAATATCATTTACAATATCTGCTGGGTGTTTGAATGAAAAAAAAAAAAAAAACAACAGTAAAGAATCTCCAGAATCTTTGCTGCATTCATTCCCTTTACCTCTCCATCTTTTTCTTCCCCATTAACTTTACTTCAATGTGGTCCTGTTAGAGGTGGATTTAGAAGTCAATGCATAACACATGAGAGATAGATTTATACCCTCAGTAGCATCAGTATGTTTTACTTGACTTTCAGCGAAGAAAACTCAAAGCAGGGAAACAATATGAATACAGCTGTGAATAGCATAGCTGAGAACAAAACAAATGGGAAGGAATTCCTAGAAAACTATAAGAACAAGTGAAATAAGGAGAAATCTGCAGAGGCTGTGGAAATCCTCAAAAGTTATTGCTATAACAGTTATGACATTCCCTCAGGCCTCAAGCTTCACGTTACTCTAGCACGTTTTTCCAATTAGCTGTAACCTCCTCATTGTATGTCAAATTGATTAAAATATTCTATCCGTTCTCGTGCTGATCATACCTGGTTTGATTTAAGAAAAATATCTACACACAGGAATGGTACCATAGTTATACCCCATCTATCTCTTCGCTTTTGGGAAAAGGACTGGGAAAGTAATAATGTTAGTCTGGCTCATGGAGGCACATGGTAGAGTTCTGATTCTTGGAAATTCTTAATTTATTCACCCTTGCGCAAGGTAAGAAACCTTAATTTTTATTTTTCCCCATTTGCCTTGCTTCTCTGAACAGAGACACCATGTAATCTGAAGGATTCTTAAAAAATTCAGTTTAGTTCATCCCTACTGTCAAGGAAAGGGCTAATGATAAAAAGCCAAACTGCAATCAAGACTAGTTTGTGAAACATAAAATGATCCTGGCTCATTTTAACAATTATGGATAAAAGGCTATTTCAAGCAAGGCTCCCAAACTTCTATTTTAAAAAACACTAAGACAAGCCACAGTTGCTTCACTCTTTGTAGTTTAGGAGTACGAAAAAGGAACAGCGACACTAGAGAGTTCTCAGACACACAGTATAGAATTGGATGTTCATTTCAGTATGGACCAAAGAAAAACCCTCTTGAAAAAAAAGAAAAAAAAAATGAAAACACCCAGAAGATAAACGCTTCCTTCCAATATTATAACCAAAGACACCTTTACCTGAATATTTCTGCTTTAAAAAATAGATTCTGTTCAAGAAGTCTACTGACTTATATTCTATAAGACGATTGAATATCCACATAAACATTGCATTTCTTACCGGTACCCTGCTAAGAGGAGGCTTCGAGGGAGAGGTCCCTGGTTTCACTACCGCTGTTGCAACACTGCTTGGTGCTGAAATATAGCTTACTGGGGTGATCACTTGCCCAGGCGTGGCGACTGGTGTCAGCACTGGCAAGCCAGCTGGTCCAAGAGGCAAACTGCTCGGAGGTATACAAGTGCTAACGGATGTCAGGGGTTTAGTTGGTGCAAGAACAGTGGTTGGGATCCCAGGAATAACAGTAGTTTCCATGATCAGTGACGTCTCCAGAGATACTGATGGATGTGCTGCTCCCACGTTACCATGTTCACTGAAGAGAGACCGTAGCTTTTCTTCCAGGGTCTTTATATCATCAATACCAGGTGCTTTGGACTGAGCATCAGCGTCAGCCTCCAGACAGTGAATATGAGGTTGATTGGGTAATGGAGCTGGCTGGGGCTGGCTGTGTATCAATGTTTGCTGTACTGCAGGCAAATTAGTAACTGGCTGTGGTAAGACACCAGGTAGGGGAACCTGGGGCAACACAGGTGTTGCACCTGGAATCTGGGATAGGACAGGTGTTGATGTAACTGCTGATGGGATGAGTAAGGGATGTATCACTGGCTGAGTGACCGAACCACATAAACTTGTTGCTACAGAGGATGATAAAGGTGCAGAGATTGGTAGCGATAAGCCAGCTGCACTGGAGGGCTGTGATTTATCTGCGGACTGCCCACTCTCAGGTAGTGATTGTGGAGCACTTACAACTGTTGTTTCTGCCAGACTGGAGACAGAGCCACTACTGGTAAGCTGAGGAAGCTGCAAAGACACATTCTGAGCCTGAGACAGGGCAACAGATGTCTGCGGTGCTGTCAAACTACTTACAATTTGAGGAGTAGATTGAGATGTCACAGCTGGTGCAACGACACCAAGACCAGTGACACCAGGAACCTGGGTAGCAGATAGTGCCAAAGAAGCTGGTGTGCTGATGCTAGGGGTAATGTCTCCAGTTACTGGCTGAGCAGGCTGGGATGTGATAGTTAAGGAGAAAGAAGCAGGGGCGCTCACACTGGAAGCCACACCACCAGACAGCTGCTGTCCGGACTGTGAGGCCGGAGGTGGAGAAACAGAACTTGGCACACTTGCACTTAGTGCAACTCCAACAGCTGCATTTTCTGAAGGCAAAGTAACAGAACTTGGAAGAGAAACACCTGTGCTAGAAGGAACAGATATTGAAGGAGCAGCTACAGATGCAGGAGGTGCACCACTGCCTGCCATGGTAGAAAGCACAGGTGGAAATGGTGGTATTGTTTGATTAAACACTGGAGGAGCTGTACTAGGTCCTTCTGTCATTTGACCATGCCCAATCTCAGAGAAAGCTTGTTGTAAGCTCAGCGATGATGCAGAGTGGGAGAGATTCATTCCAGGACCATGTAGTGGAGATGCAGCAACTGAAAGAACACAAAAAATATCAGTCCATCTTGGAAAGTTCATTACAGTACTACCTCCTATCGATAAACTTAGACAAAGTTAACTTCCTAGCATAATTTAAAAAAATAAAAATAAAAAAAAGATAAATCCAGGCACACATTGAAAATGTGGAATAAAGGTTTCAAGACTTTTGCAGGCAGGACATTTTTTCCTGCAAGTATTCTACACAGTATCAGCCAGATTATCATCACTTCTTATCAGCACAGTCACTTCTCTACTTCCAGATACTTAAGGGGTGCTAAGGAGCTTGTCAGTTTGGTAAACTAACTTCAGTTTTGAATAGCATTTCTTAGCCTTCAGAATTTAAGAGTTTAGATAACTTACCAACATCTGAAGTTTCTTTTCCCCCGGGAACAGGAGAGGTGAAAAAGCCCTGTTCTTTTAACCGACTTTCAGGGACAGGGCTGACAATGAACCGTCTTCCCGCAGAATGGACAACCTGGGTAAAGGAGCTAGGAGGAACCCCTAAACAGAAAGAAGTTGGATATTTAGTGATATGTAGCTGCAACAAAATACATAACCTGCAATATGGAATGTGAACTCCATCATATAAAATAAAAACCTGGCAGCACCCATCCGCTGAAATCGAAAAAGGTAACTGTTGAAAAAAACAAAATCACAAAAGACTTACCTATTCTTTGTGGCATGGAAGATGTAGGATCTGGCTGTTTGAACTCTAATTTCTGTAAAGTAAGATAAAATTTAAAGTTCTATTCTGAAACAGAAACCCACACGATAGTATTAAAACGCTAGCTTACTGAAATGTGGGCATTTAAGTTAAGCAGTGCCATGGACTCAAGCACCATTATCAAAGCAGTGAAATTCTGCCTAGGTAACTGTCAGCTATAGCGTTTTATAGATAACCAGTTCAGTGACCATCAGTGTAACAAATGGATCTAAGCATCTTCTTTTTAAACACTCCAGCCCATTTCCTTAAATGAATTTCCCACAGATAAGTAAACGGAGGATGGATGTTTTGGAGTAGTTTTTGATAGAAATAAGGCAGAGATTCTGGAAATGTCACCCCTTATGATTCCCAGCAATCAGCTTGAAAACCTTTGTTTTCTAACTGATGCATCCAATCCTAGTTGCTCACTGAGTAGAGGGCCTGGAGTCCAGACTCTTGGGATTTAGTGAATAACAAAGGATTAGGGATTTTAGCATCCTGCCTCACAACTTCAAACCCAGGAAGCCCCAGCATTTATGAACATCTGTCTAGTACTCTATTATGAGATTCAGCAGCTTTAAAAGTGCCAGAACATGACAAAAAACAATGGCTTTTTGTTATTTAGTTTTCTAAATGATTTTTTTGTTTTCAATCTGATCTGAAGCTTTGCCTGTTAATTTTGTTTTTAAGCTTTGCTATTCTCATGAAAGATTTCAGTTTCTTGCTAGCACTACGCAAAACCATAACACCCAAAACTGAAAAAATGATTAGCTAAGGCCATTCATCTTCTACATACCTGTGACCCTGGAACGAAGCCATCGTCTTTTGTCTGCATACTCTCCAAACCCTGATCACCTTCTGGCTCCACACTTACATCCTCACTCAGCATTTCATCTGCTTTCTCAATGATCTCTCGTACCTGTTCCACGAATGAGTCTCTCTCAGTTGCTAAAATAAACTCATTCTGCACCTGTGAAGAGAACAGAGCAGTAAGATTTTTAATTGATATGAAATATTTCAGAACTATGTATTGAATACTGAGTAACCATAATATAGCTTATGTTTGTGTTTGTCCTCCTTCCACTGTTCTTATGCATAAGATAAAGTTCATGACATCCTGGAGAAAAAACATTTGCTTCTGAAATTGTCTCCAGCACTGAAATATTTGTCCTACTTTGCTCTTTGCAGTGGAACAACATTCTGTGTCATTTTCATCAGATTGATATTTCAGACTTTCCCAGTGAAACTCAAAATTTGCAACTTCATTTACTACCATATTTAAAGAAAGATGTAAATGTAAAAAAATCAAAAATTTTATATCGCAAGATAAATTCTGTGCTACTCTATTTCTACATCATACTGAACTTCTACCCTATGGAGGCTATACATCACTAGTTTCCAGAAGTCTGGCTGCTGCAGTACGTAAACACAAGAATTATGTTAAGAGAAAGTGTGTTCAGCCTATTTAGTTTCAATATACTGTATTGCTTTATAAAAATACATCCTGCTGTTTACATTGGAATAAATAAGCTTAAACAAATACACTCGGTATTTATACAACAGTTCCTAGTTTGTCAGCCTAGCCCAGGAGAAAATTACGTCTCCTGACGGGCATAAAGTTCTAGATTAAGTTGTCTACGTTTGGTTGCGTACTTCAAATGATTTGCTTGCACTGTGAAAGCACAGATCACTTATTTTGTTTGCACTCCTCATCAACCGTCTGTTCTTTTATCAAATATACTGTTTTATTCCTCCATAGGATCATTTTACATATGAGGAAATGTAAGATCTATACTTTCTGTGACACTTCATTTATTTGACATGTCAATACACGTACATAGCCAAGAACCAAATTCTTCTTCTTCTGTGGAAAAGTCTTCCTGTGTTACTAATTTGATTATTTCTGAAAAAATATGAATCCAGCCATTATTCTGCTGTCTCTCCAAGTTAAAAGATAAATACCACCACACAGGTGCCCAAGTTGGGGGAAAGATAGTGCTTTGTGCCAGGATGAACTTCCAACCCACTTCCCACTCCACTTCAGCAATACCAAAGTGATCTCATTTTTGCTCAAATTGTACCAGCTCAGGAATATAATTTTAAATTTAAAAAAAAAAAAAAAAAGAGGTGGGAGGTTCTATTCCACACTTCATGGTACTTGCATTTAAACATATCTGTAAATGACAAGTTGTCTTCTGTTTCCTGACCACTATCTGTTGAACGGAGAGGTTGCTTTGTTTGTTTTCCTTTGAGATGCATTGACCAATTTAGTCAAAAGCAGCAGTCATTCCTGATCTCCAGAAATCAGAAAGAAGTTCCCTTGGAAAGGAAAATCTTGCTGTTTCAGTTGAGAACAGCAGCAAAATCTCAATGCTTAAGCAGAATTGTAAAGACTTAACAATGTTTTGGTCTTTAAAAAAATAAAAAAAAAAAAAAAACAACTATTTAAGTTGGTGCTTTCAGAAAGTTGTCTGCAGTTTTTCCAAAATATAGACTGTGAAAAAACAAAAGTAGATACAATTGATAAAAAAGACATTTTAGGATAAAAAAATTGACTCGGGTGTTCCCTGTGAACTGAGCATGTAATATTAAGTGTCAATTTTGTATAATACTCTGCGCAGACAGTCTCTAGCTGCGCTTACGTACCTATTAAGTGAGTGCAGAAAAAAAGGAGGCAGGCCATGCTACACAAAAGAAAGCAAGTGAGAAAATAAGACTACTTATATTACTACCAGATTAAGTGATTAAGACCAGATTCAATTTTCCACCTCTGAAATCCATCTTACCATAATTGATGCTATTTCCTCAGGGTTGTCACCATCCAAATCAAATTTGAAAGTAACCATTTTCCGATTGTGTGTCTCTAGCTGGCATTCCACTACCCGGTCACCTTTATTTGAAACCTAAAGCAAAAAAAATAATGGTTCAAATTAAAAGCATAAAAATGTAATGTTTGTACTTCAAAGTCCACAGAGAAAGACCAACAGTACTGCTCTAAGACAAACACATTCTCTTTTTCTGAACTAATAAACAGTACAGCAACATTTTCTGAGGATTTGCCAATGACTCATAAGACCAAGCTTACCTTGCCCTCACCTTTCTCTAGGGCTCCAAATGCTCCCTTGTTCCTTTCTAACTTATATGTCACTAGCTTAGCCTTACTAATAAGATTAAAGCAAACATTCAGAAATAGTATGTGTAAACACTGGAGGCCACGCAAACTAATTCTGCCATCTGAAATATTCTGAAAAACTCTTAACTATGACTTTTGGAACACTAACACGAGAAGCAGAAGAAATACAGTGGACAGACTGCGTGCTCAAAGTGGCAACAGTATTAAACAGTCACTTCAAAATTAAAACAAAACAAAACCACTCACATTTAGAATTCTCAGTTTCGGCCTAGCAGTCTTCTCATGGCGAGAGCGACTGCGGACAGACCTCCGCATATGACGCTTGGTAGTCCTCCCTTCATGCCTCCCACTAGAAGCTGGAACATTCTCATTGCCATCACTCATTCCTGAAGCAACATCAGAATGTGCACTAAAAATGAAAACAAAACTTTATATTAGTACTCATGCACTCTATATCAGCAACAATATGGTTTTGCCCTACCGATACCATTCTCTTCAGGATAGGAGTGGATGCTTGTTCATCACAGAGTACGGGAGAAGAATAAACACTGAACATTCTGAGTTGGAAGAGAGCACAGAGCACCACCCAAAATCCAAACTCTATGTCTGAGAGCAGTGTCCAAAAGCTTCTTGAACTCCAGCACTTGGGGCCGTGCCCTCTGCCCTGCGCAACCCATTCCATGCCCACTGCCCTCTAGTGAAGAACCTTTTCCTAACACCCAACCTGCTCCTCCCCTGACACAGCTCCATGCCATTCCCTTGGGTCCTACTGCTGTCACCAGAGGGCAGAGCTAAGTACTGCCCCTCTATTCCCTGTGAGAAGCTGCAGCCACCATGAGCCTCTTTTCCAGGCTGAGAAAACCAACTTGCTGTTCCTCACGTGTCTTTCCCTCCAGACCCATCTCCATTTCCACAGCAGTCCTTTGAACACTCTCTAACAGTTTTATGTCTATTGCATGAAATTAAAATTCGGATTGGTAGATTGGTGAGAAGAAAACCATGCTTACCTATCCATAGAGGAAGCCAAAGGGGTAGACTGAGCAGGCTGCGTTGATGGCAGAGACTCTGAAGGAGCAGTCTGTGAGGCCCCTTGAGTACCCTATGGACAGAAACCTACATCAAGAACTCTAAATAACTCCATTCCTTTCGAAATCACCCATTAGTCTTCAATCATTTCACTCAAATCAGTTATAAAGCTAAAAGCACTACTTTTTTAGAACTTTGAACAGCTAGCTAGCATCTAGAGAGCTTTAATTTACAAGGCTCAAAAGCAAACTGCAGTGAAGCAAATAATCATCCTGAGGAGGGGTGGGGCAGAAAATCAGCCATCCTTCTACAGATGCACGTTGCTACAGTTTGCCATGCAGCCACAGTCTTACTAACAGAATGTGCAAAAGGCAAGCCAATGCAGAACACAAAGACAATTCAAATTCTCCCTAGCAACATCAGTGCTGCAGGGAATGGGCAAAATGAGAGAATCTCAAAGGCTATCGGTAGCAGTTTTTCATTGATACGGCAAAATATTCTACAGTACTAGCAAGAAGTGAAGTGTTAACAGGTTTTTTGCCTGTAAGAGGTACACTCACTTCCCAACAGAACAGCCAGTGGCAACAAGGTCCCCACATTGGCATGACATTCTGCTGTAAGAAAAAGGTTATTTGAAACATTAATTTCCATCTGAAGACAAGCATGGAAGGGATTAGTTCCCCACACACATTCACTGTTGTATAATCTGAAGACTCTAAATGCATTGTTATGTTCAACATAGTTACCTCCACAACTGCCTGCTGCGAGGAGGCTGATGAGGCCTGTTGTGCTAAACTCACTGTAGGCTGGGGCACTTGAACCTGTCCTCCTACGCTGCCCATAGGAACTAAAACGTTCTGCTCCACATACGGCTGCACAACAGGAGCAATATAGCCTGGCTGAGTCATTACATCTGTGGGTAGGGGAGGGGACAGTATGGCAGAAGGAATGCTAACAGAAGCCACAGCAGAGGAAGGTGCAACACTTGAGTCCCCTGGGTACTGAGGTGGTAGCCGAGATGGGAAGCCCTGTAACAGAAACGAGGGAGTCAAGTTAGTGAATGCCAGAGCTGATAAGAAAACAAAACAAAACAAAAAAATACATATATCCGTTTCAGGGGAAACTTCAAACTGCTTTCCTTTCCCTTCTGTACTTATTCAAGTGCTTCTGAAGACCATCTTCACACAGAATAGCTGTTTAAGAAGCCAAAGCTCAGCTTGCAAGTCACTATGCTTCAACAAGCAAATTTCCGTTCAAAATTTCAAGCCTTAGGCAAAACAATTTTCACCTCCCAACTCTCCCAAGTTACCTATTGGACTTAATATTTTAAGACCTGTGGCTTGAAATGAGTTTGAAGGATTTTTATGCTGAACTGCTCAGAACATGTTATATATCTGTTGCTGATTCTCAAGACGAGTAAATACCTTGCATGTCTACTGTCCTCTCACGATGAACCGACCCGGGAACCAAAAAGCATGAATTCCTACATAGTTTCTATTCTGCAGCACTCTATATTGTCTCAGTGACTTTACTTTAGAAGAACAACTATATGCCAAGTCACTATTTTTATCACTACTCATACTGCCATGACAATGACTGCACAAAGTAGCCAAAGTAGTCCTTGCCGATCAGTCTAGCATTTCATAACTTGCATCATATACTTACTTCTCGTTCAAGATCCTTGTTGCCCAACTTATTTCCAGAAAATCCAAGTCCACACCTCCCCACGTCCCTTCCCCAAATTGGAATAAAATACTGACATTGCTGAATATGCTGCCACAGATTATCTTTCCCAAACACAACCCATATGAGTTTTTAAATCACAATGTTTTGGGACTTTTTTTTTTTTTAATTTAATTCAAGTTGGCAGATCTCTTAGATACATAGCTATTGTCCTTTACACAGCAGCTGACAAAAGTCCTGCACTACACTTGTCATTTTAGACAAACTCCACTGCCAAATGAGAGAAAAAAAAAAATCACAAGGTGACTAGAAGACACTTTTTCTCCTCCCTCCTTAAAAAGGACTTTTACTACAAAACAGAATTCATCTCCATGGCCTTGTGGCTCTCTTATGAGAAGTGAGTTGGCCCAGGCACACAGTTCTGAGCTGGTACCTTAGAGGAAGAGGTGAAAGTCGGAGGGGAAGAGCTCTGCTGGCTTGCAACAATACCTGGTAAAGAGCATCTCCAGCAGGAAGTGAAGCATCAGCAGCTTGTCCAATGCTGACTGGCAATCCCATGGACTGGACAGCCGGCTGCAGGAGCTGCGGGAGAACCTGGCTGGGCAACTGAGCCACAGGCTGCATCAGCGTGGGAAGCTGGCTAGGGACAACAGTTGATCCTACAGGGACAGCGGATGCCGCAGCAGATGTTGCCAGCGTGAGCAATGGCTGATTCATGCCGCCTGCCATTGAAATTGGCAGTGACTGGAAACCTGGCTGAGCCACTGACACATGAGGAGCTGCGACGGGCAACTGAGAGACTGAGAACTGGGGGACAATGGAAGTTGGCAAGGGTTGTCCCACGGGCAGAAAGTGAGAACCAATAGGGACTGATGGGGCAACTGAAGGTTGAGGGAGAGAAGGTGCTGCAACAGGTAATTGAGGTTCGCCTTGGATGATCGACACTGGTTGGGAAACAGGAAGCTGGGGAGGTAAAGAAAATAGAGATAGATTTTTCGGTTTTTAAGCAGGGTTGCAGAAAGCAGAATTTTTATGCATTAGTCAAAGAAAGAATTATTCAAGTTATAGCACTCTGTTAAAGTGGGTGGGGAGCACAGTTGGCAGAGTGGCTGGGAAGTTGGCTGGAGTTCCAAAAGGTCCTCACTTCGCAACACTTCCCTTGAAGGACTTCACAGGCTCTTGAAATAGACCCCCACAGAGGGTGAAAGAGCAACATCAGAATACCCTAAAGCACTGACTTGTACACAAACAGAATCCAATTCCCCTCAATTCTGTCCCCAGAGCCAAGCCTGCCTTCTTACAGGAAAGAAGTGCAAATGTTTCCACAAATCTGTCAGCTTTGGGTATGGGGACTAAGGAATGGAGAATGAAAAGCCACTGTGCCAGCATTCAGAGAATGGCAGGGGATATGTCAATTAAAGCCAGCAAATGATGCAACTGGAGAGACAGTTAAGATGAACAAGCAACAAAACAATTTCAAAAACAAAAACAAGGCTCACATGTTCAAGATAGAGATATGAGCCAAAATGAAGTAATACTCAGTAACAGAAGCTTCTTGATCAGGCAGTAAAGGAGAAGAGCTGAATAAGAGAGATGACAAGAGTGGAAAAGGCAGTCCTTATGGTTCACTACCTAAATATGTGAACATGTGTTTTACACACAATGGTGCAGAAGATGTACATTCTATGGGAAGCAGAGAAATGACAAGTTCCTGAAAACGCATTCATAGTAATCCATTCATCAATATGCTTCACAATACTTTGACTGTTTAAAGACCTTAGAGAATGGAAGTGCTATCCTTCCCTCAAACAAATTACTCATGACTGCCATGTGTGAAAGAAAGTGTTTCCAATACATATTTTCCAGCAAAATTGACAGTTGCAGTATCCTGAGAATACTACTATCTGGATGAATGTTTTGGAACCATTAGAAAAGATGACAAAAGTGAAAGTAGCAGCATACTGAATTTGCCAGGTGTGAGGTATCTTGTACTGATAAGAAAAATATGGCTTACCTGTGTCCCTGCTGCTGCCTGAGGCATTGGCATAACCTGTGAAGTCTGAGCTTGAGAGACAGTTTGTGTGGGAGTGGCACCAGTAGAAACTGATGGCTGCTGCAGCTGGTATTGTCCGGGTTGTTGAGAAGAAGCTGGCTGCTGGGCATTCTACAGTAGGGAAAAGATGCAGAAGCTATTTTTAACACCCCACAGAGGAAGTTTTAAAAGCCTATCTATTTAAGTTTTGACTTTTATTCCCTCCTAAGTGATATTAGTGGATCCTCTGAACATACTGAGTGAATTAATCTTTAGTAATTACTTCTTAGTATTACTAACACAGCTCCACTATCAGAACCAAGTACTGCAACAGGATTTTAGCTTCAACAGTGAGAACAAGAATACAGATTCCACATAGGGACTTCAGGCAGTTAAGAGAAGAGGACGCTGCAGAAGATACTATTTCAAATTGGAAGAACTCATCAGAACGGGGTCTGCCTGTCTACACAATCGAAATCGAACTCTCAGATCCTGACATGTCTTTCCTTGAATGGCACCTCCCATGTAAAGTTAGGTTGGTCTAGGAAGACAGTCACATGAGAAGCAGCATGAACATGATCCTAAAAATAAATTTCAATAAGGTAATCTCGTAGCATGTTAGACTATGGGAGAACCAGAGGATTCCTCTTTTATACAAAACTATGGATTGAAGAGTGGACAGGGAAAGGTAATTGCTCTTTAAGAAGTCATCAAATTTCTCTGCTGAAAATATTTTACGCCCAAGTTTAAAAAACAATCCTACCTGCTGAGTGTGTTGGGCAGGCTGAGACGGTACCGATGTACTACTTGAGGCTGACTGGCCTTGTACTTGTGTCTATAGGAAAAAAAAGACCAAGGGTCAGCTTTAAAAGAAAAATAAAAAACCACGCAGCTCTGCAGCAGGCAGTTAAAATAATTTCTGCCTGGAATGATCTGTTCCTAATCGTTTCTAGCCGTTCTTTTTAGACTAGCAGTTTACTTGGCCAAATTCCACTACAAAAACCAGAACAAAGTAGTGCAAGCTGGAAAAGCACCAAAATCCATTTTAAGTCCTTCAAAAAAGCAAAGTTTTTGCATTCCCAATGCCCCTCAGAATGAGATAGACCAGCCTACCAGCTTCTTCCTCTACTGATGATGTGTTAAAAACAGGATGCCTTGGTATGTATGGTAACTGGAAATACAGGCATTAAAATTTACCTTTACAAGTGTTCTGAACACAGTTAAGTGAAGAGGATAAAATAAGCTAGAAAAAAATAAAGCTGATTATAAAGATCAAAAATATACATACCAATAACAAAACACTCAATACATATACATATAAACTGTTTCTTTAGAGAGGCTTATCAAAATCCTAATTAAAAATCATTTCCAGACCAGCTATCAGCCAAGGATAGATATAGAGGAATCTGGGGCCATGTTCTAGCTAAGACAGAAATCTGAATGAATAAGCAACAAAAAAAAAAAAAAAAGGATGAGTGGCATACAAATGAATGTGAAAGATGCAAAAGAAAATGGAATGGATTTTCACCACTGTTTTTGTGACCAACATTCTTTGGTTAGACCTTGGAGACAGTTGGACAAAGATCTCCACTAAGCTCCCTCAGCACGCACCACCTGTAAACTAATGGCCTTCATAAGAAACATCTGGAGCACAGGTATCATATCAGAAATATCTATTAAAATTTCTAAATGGTTTGCATATTCTGCTTGCAGAAGCTTATTAGGAAAAATTTTCTCTAAAATGTATTATTTTAAGGAAAGAACAGTGTCAATTAAAAGAACTGTTTTTTCTTAGTTGTTTTAGAAGCTTTGAGGCCCTTATTAGTTAGAATACAAATGTGTCCATTGAAATAATCTCTCTTCGTATTGATTCAGTTTGAGACTTCACATTCCGATCTTCCAATGAATTAGATAACAGCTTCTGGAGCTTGCATTCTGTAAAAATAATCTGAATCCCTTCTTATGATTTCCAGATGTCTTTTTCACCCATCACAAATCACCTGAAGTTTAGCAAAAGATGTTTATGGAGAAACAATCTCCAAGTAACTTTCAAATTTCCTGCACTGCACTTTCACTCCACAAGTTCTCCTAAACAACAGAAATCACTATTTATTGCATCAGTTATTAAGCTGTTTCAGCTTAAAAAACAAAACAAAACCAACAGCATCCTATATGGAAAGATTTAAGTATTTAATTCTTGATCTTACCACAATAAAGCAAAAAAGGCTCTCTTTCTTCTAGAGGAATAACAATGTTGCTTATAGCTTAATAGCTGGAGTATTCGAATTCTTAATTTCAAAAACAGAAAGAGTGAGGGAGTAAGAGATGTTTACTTAAAGTAAAGCCTCTCTTTTCACAAAAAAAAAAAAAAAAAAAAAAAAAAAAAAAAAAAGAAAACCATCTTCTCATGAGTTTCAGAATACAAGCACAGATACAATATACACGTACACCTCACATTCATGGTGTACAAACTGAAGGATACTAGAATGAAAACTGCAATGGTATTTATCATACACCAACAGAACATATCTCCAGCTAAACTCCATGCCTCAGATTTTGCTTTTTAAAAAAGACACCACATTCTAGGCTTATAAGGAAGCAAAGCCTATATTAAGAATCATTTGTGTCACTAGTTAACTACTCAGCTTGCTCGGTTTCTTTGTTAGTGCAAGGGCACTTCCAAACCCATTTACATGTATATATACTGCCCTTAATTTCTCTCTTCCCACTTCCTTCCCTCAAACCTAGAAAAATCGCTTTCAGCTTTCAAGAGTCACAGAGTTAACCTGTTGTCCAATGAAACATTATTGATAGAAATCTTCAAATAACATTCTCATCAAACAGCTGAGGAACAGGAATAGCAGTACAAAGCAAGTGTTAGTAACACGACCAATACAAACTGCGTGGAAGATTCACTTCATTAAACCCATTGTTGAGAAGCCAATTTAGTACTTCAGCTATCTCTTTCCAAAACAGCATCTGATTCAAAAGAACACTGACCTTTTGTTATTCTTAACACAAAAGCCGTACCAATACATCACCCAAAGCTGAACATAGACTGAGGGGTTGCTGATGCCTCATCCTTTAACTGTAACCTGTTAAGTTAAAGAGATCCTAGTAGACCACTGACTTAATGTAAAGACACCCCCATGAATGCTAAGATACTTGCTCCACGTGGTTCTAAATAAGAGCAAGGCTCCTCTTTAAGTGCAAAGTATGATTTACAAAAAGCAGAGAAATTCTGGAAGGATTTTCTCCTGTAACCTGAGGATAGTGTGCAGGTGGTCCTGATGAAAGCGAGGTGGACAAGGCCTGCTGAGTTGAGGCTCCCTGTGGGAAGCAGATGAAGAGCTGCGACTCTTGCAATACCTTCTGAGGCAGCTGAACAATGGGCAATGAGAAGTCTGAACCAAAAGCAGATGGTCCCCCTGTAGGGGGAGGAGACTGGAAATCGCCAGTGTCAGAGGAAGTCAGCTGTGAGGAATCACTGGAGTATTCTGGGCTTCCTTCTGGCCAGCTCCGACTGGCAGAACCCCCTCTGGGACCTGCTAAATCAGGACCAAGATAGTTATAACGTTCCTCTGTCACGGGCTGAAGCCGACCATGCAACCCTATGCCTTGAGTGGATTCCTCTTGACTGGTCTCCATTGAGCCCCGGCGACTTCTGTAGACCCGCTGGGGTAAAGCCGCCCCTTCTGCTGGAGCAGAACTCGGTGTGTGCACATGGAACTCAAAAACACAGCTTGTTCTGCCATCACCGCTGTGAGAGAGCACAGCTGGGGCAGAATGAGGAACAAATACCTGATGGAACGTCATCTGAGCAGGATCTGCACTCAGAGGAGCTGAAACACTGGATAATGGACTGGATAGGGGACTCAACCCAGCATCCAGCCTCAAGTTCTGAACATGTCTTGCCAGGAATGCTTGCCCCGATTGATAGTCAAACACAGAGCTTTGTGGAGGACCACCTTGCACATGCTTTGAGTCAGAAACCTGCTTCAAATGTTGTTCAGTCACGTGTGAGTTATAAGCTACTTGATCATACTGCTCCGATACCTGTGACGGATAGTGCATGCCCACCAAATATACAGCTTCTGGATGCATTCTGTAGTGAGCATCCTCTGGAGGTGTTGGTCCAGATCTATAGTCACTGTGTACAGGAGCTGGCTCAAACACAGGGTTAACTTGCACATGCAGAGGCTCTCCAGCGACTCTATGAGATGTTGTGCCCAGCATAACCAATGCCTCTGGTGTCCAATTGGTGGGACTACCACCAGGTGGAACTAAACTCTGGCCAGTCTTCAGCAATGGTTGGAAGTGGCAAGTTTGGGCTTCCAAAAATGAAGTGCTCTTGCGGCGCTGAGCAACTGCCACCTTCGGCGGGCAGACAGGTGGTGGTGAGAAAGACACCGGCCGTTCATGAACGGTTGGGAAAAATATCTGTGAATCTGGGAACGTTGGTGTTCCCCCACGCGGATGCTGAGGCTGTATTGACATGAACAAGACAAGTAATTCATACATTAAAAGTGAAAGCACATTAACATGCACAGTTCACTAGGCAGTTCTGTGAAGTAACTTTATAGAATGACTACTCAATTCATGGTCAAAAACATACAATACTTAGGAAAATTAGATGAGTTGTAAATATCCATTAAATACATCCGTGGCAGGCATGTCTACAGATGGAAATATTTGCTTGTGTTAAAGCTGCTTTTCCAGTCCAACTCCAACCACTCAGTAAATGTGAACATTGGTTTTGCTCCTGACAATGGAATGCAATTTATTGTCATGGGCTATTCACTGCGGTCATTGCTTGAAATCCAATCTAACTCCGGACGTTACTGCCATATGGGCATATAAAAATATCAGAACTTGATAGCAGTAACGACGCAGGGCCTCTAACTCGCATCTGGAAGATTAAAATGATATGAAAACTTAATACTATCTAATGTAAAAAACACAGTGCTGGTGTCCTGTCAGGAAGGTGCTCTGTACGGTATCCAGAGAGCTAAACAAAAATGCTTTCCAAGACTGAACCATACCAGCCTACGCATGAAAAAATAATGAAAAGAAAACTCATAAAAATGCAGCGTCTTCAGATTCCATCAAATTCAGTCATCCCTTTTGATCATTTTGATCCATTTGCATCATGCCCTTTTCACATAAGAAATTAGCAGTCACTGAAGCAAATCCACTTTTTTTCCTGGACAACAATACGTTCACAGGTTTGTCAACAAAAACTTTAAGTGATTCCACTCTTTATGATGTATTACTACAGATTAGGCTCATCTTAGTTAGGATTTCTAGGCAAAATTTCACTGACAAAAGTTCTACATAAGAATACTAAACAATTCAGCAATGCTGCATCTTTTTCATCGCTGCCTACAGTACACTGAAAGAAAATATTGCTGACACTAAAGGAAAAATAGTAAGAGTCAGCAGCAAATGTACTGTCTTGAAGACAAGAGCTACTTTCAACTTTTTCAAATTGCCTTTTGCACATTGTTCCATTTCCTTCCCATCCCTTCTTCCGGAAAAGCAGCAGCAAATTTCCATATTGACCAATAGTAAGAAGAAGGTCCTACTCCAATACTCCTGACTACATTCTGAAAGTTAGTTCTATATACTTCAATTGCAGATAAAAGTTTCTCAAAGCTTATTTTACGTGAATAAAAGCCAAAAACTGAAAGAGGCTATCTTGCAAGCTGTCATGCATCTGACCTTTTGAAACACATGAAAATCTTCCCACCAAGCAGCAGCCGCTAAGGTGGCAACCACGATTAAAATGTAAGACTCCTCAAAAGTATTCATACTCTGAATTTCTACTATCACTATCATAGCAAGCCAAAGCTTCCGGAAAACCAGCCACAACAACTAAGCTTTAAAAGTCGGCTGTTTTGTGCAGGGCTTAATTAACATTCAATGCTTGGAAGTTGGAAAATGAAAAACAGTCTTCTGATTTCAGGGGAAAAGAACTAGTCTTCCCTTTAACTTCTGTGGTATAGCTGAATAATTTTCATTTATACTTTCCTAAAATACAAAATACACGGTCAAACACTGATCATGTTTTTAAGTGTACAGCTTGTCAATGAACAGTAACAGGAAAAAACAAACAAACAAGCTAGCAGCCCAGAAATGAGGAAGAATCATCTTTTCCTCTTCTCAATTTATAAATGCCTGAAGCCCAGGATGTATTTAATGATAACTTATCTTACTGTGCTGGGAGGCAAATGGTAACACATACAGGACTGACAGAGAGGGAGGGCAGGCTGGAGCGTCGATGCTTGCGTGGAGAGGCAGAGTGCATGGGCAGGACACTTTCCAAGGCTTTAGAAAGCTTTTCTGCAAAGGTTTCTTCAGGGACAGTCCGAAGGTAGAAAGGAGAGAGAGGTGCAGACAGCGCTGGTGGTGGGGTGCAAGGAGCACTGAGAGGGATGCAGGACATAGAGGGAAGAGCAGGAAGGTGGGGAACACAAACTGACATGCTACGACCACGTTGAGGCTAAAGGAGGAAAACAAAAGTTAAAAAATTGAACACTTCAAAAAAATTAAAAACAAAACCAGCAAAAATTGTAATGATAGAAAAGAAATGCAGACACACAATGATAGGCCCAATACTGACTACTATGTGTGCAAGAAGATATGAGAATGCTGAATGAATGTTGACATACACCAAGAATAGGATGTGTGCACCTCTGAGGATTCAAGTTTGTTTTAGGTTACTGAACAGTAAGGGAAGTTCCCTAGTGCCCTTCTAAGATGCATGTGGAAGGCAGAACAGATAAGAGAGAATGTTTTCCTTGGAGCCACCAATGTGGCCCACAGTATGTGTATTCACTACACTTAATAATGTGACAAATAAAAAACCTTAAGTTATTGATGGCCTTTCATTCATTCTTAGTTTACTGAGTGCATGTGCTCTTACACCTATCGCCTCTCTGTAACCAGGCTCTCTGCTTAGGCAACTCCCTGAATGAAGTGAACTAAGAGGTTTCAGCTGGTTCTTTACCAACCAAAATGTTACCTAAAAAATTTTAGCATTACACAGTCTACAAAACAGTTGTGGAAAAAGCTGTTTGAATACATGGAAAGTTTAGTTAGATTAGTCTTAGACAAGCATTTTCCAGACACTGAGCCAATACAAGTATCAAGGATTTTGTAATCTTGCCTCGAGACAGAAGGCCATAGGTCAAAATTCAACCCAACTGACAGAATCAGAATTATCTTTCTGTCTGGTTCTTTTTTGTTGTTGTTGTTTAGGCTTTGTTTTTTTTTTTTTTTTTTTTGTTGTTGTTGTTGTTGTTTGTTTGTTTGTTTGTTTTACAATGATTGGAAAAATTATGTTTTAGAGAGGCAGCTTTTAAAAACTGAAATATTTCTCTAAAAATACATGCCCCTCTTTTGGATATAATTTCTAAAGATAACTGAAATCAAATACATATTGAGAAAAAAAACAAAGTCAAGGTAGTCAAGATCTAAAGATCTAAAGATCTAAAGTCAAGTCAAGATCTAATTTAAAGTATTTCTGATATGAGAAACCTTGATAGACTGCTCAGTATTTTGGAGGAGAGACATCAGGAACCTCAAAGGGTTAAACATCTTACCCTTATTCTTCACTTGGTCCAAGTCAGGACCGGTTATACATGTCGTTCCTGACAAGTTTATCTAACCTGTTCAGAAACAGCTCCAGTAATGGAGTCTAGAGTAAACAATTGTCCTTTCTGGTTAGAAAAAAATCCTTTTCTAAACAAGAATTCCTTGCTGCAATTTAAGCTTATTATTTTTGTTATATCTGACAACAATGTTGTGATCTGATTAGCCTCTATGTATTTTATGGTGGCCTTTCAGCTTTCTCTGTCCTCAAGCTCATCTTCCACAGACTCAGCTCTTTCAGTCAACCCACAAAAACCATGTTTCCTGTATTCTTGGTGTTTTTTGTCACTCTCCTCTGAATTCTCTCCCCATTCACACTCTCAACTTCCTTCATCAGGCAGAGTGTCCAAAATAGACTTAACAATGGCCAAGAAGAGCAGAACTACTTCACAAAACATGATGTTTGTCTTTTACACAATAGCATGATGTTTTTGACCATGTCCAGCTTGTGGTCCAGTATAATCCCTGACTCTTTCTTTTAGTGGTGGAATTGCTGCCTAGTCAGTTGTTGCTCATCCTGTACTTGTGTAGCTGATTTTTCCTGCTTAGGCACGAAACTTGCTCTCGTCCTGATTGAATTGCATTCTACTTCTTTTAAAGGTTATTTCTCCAGATGTCAATTTCATTTTGATTTGTCATCCTGTCTTCCCAACAAAGTCTTAGTAGTTCTCGTAGCGTTTTACTTCATTCTGTTAACCTTCCGGTACCGCTGTTGTCATCAGAGCACGAGCACATTTTAGGATTTAACTGAGCAGCTTGACTATACATTTGTAGTGTGCTTGTTTTCCCAACCTCTCTCAAAAGGTCATGGTCTTTCAACCTGGAAACTAGCCATCCCAAGGCAATAAATGGCTTCTAGTCCAAGACATACTCACACATCAAAGTATGGCTTAACCAGAGCAGTAACTTAGTTTGAGAGCTTGAAAATTCGTTTGCCCAAGGACTAGCAGTACCACAAAACTACAGGTTATGACTGAAACCAGCATGTTTTCCAAAAATCTAGGAACACCGATTTTGTAATGAAGTCCACAAGCGCAGGCAGCAAAAAAGTGAGGACTCTTTTAAGTCCTGACTGTCACATTATCTTCCTGTATGGCTTTACCATACTATAAGATATCTCTGCCTTAGGTTTAGATTTTTGTATAAAAAAAAAACAAAAACAAAACGACAAGGGAACCACTGAAGACAATATAAGAGTAGCAGAAGTTTTACTCCAGTGCTGGAATAGACTTCTGAATGTTCTTGTACTCTGATCTAAAACATACCAAGGGAAGAACGTACCAAAATAAAAGGGCCACACAAATGAACATAGTAGGAGAAGTATTTGTGCCCAGTGCAGACTTTCCAGGGACAAGGAATACGCATGGCAACTGATGAGCAAATCAACACAAGCTAGAAATAATATTGGGAACAAGGATGTGGGGTCCTCAGTCTGGAGTACTCACATGCAGCATTCTATAACAGTTAAAAAGAGCTTACCTGCAGAATCTGTAAATCAAAGCCTCACAGACATACATAGCAACATCATACTTCAAAACAGCAGCTTAAATTATTCTAATCCTTTCTTCAAATCAAAGCAATAGCTAAATATTTGGTAACTTCACATATATACAAAACACCTTCCCAAGTGAGATGAAACGCTCATTTTCATGAGACAGTCTCGTACTGAGGATGTTACATCCATTACAAATCCCAACCTGTCATTCTGCTTAAGTGTACTCAAGATTTAATAAAAACTTTTTTTAAAAAGAAAAATATTTCCTTTTATTTCATTGAACTAGATTCAGTCACCTTGTAAAATAGGAATTTTAATGCTCCCATGCAGAATTTGTATTGCACGGAAAGCATACATGAAAGAATGCCTAGCAGACTTTCTTCTCACCTTCAAAAAAAGAAAACAAAAACAAAACAACCCTCACAACTAAATAATTCCATGCATTTGCAATACTTTTAAGTTCTGGCTTACCACTGTAGGTGGCTGATATCCTCCATGCTGTTGTGACTGCACTTGGCCAACTGAAGCCGCATACCCCTGGACTGCAGCAGTTGAGATTGGCTGGTCATGCTGGGAACCATACGACACAGTCTGCTGACTGCTCACACACGATTCAGTATAAACAGATGACCCTTGGCCACTATCAACTGCTCCATCAGCTACAGAAAATAAAGACAAAAAGAACTGCAAGACTGGATTCATAATTCAAGTATTACTATCAAATATTAGACTGCATTTGTGTCACATCACAATGACCTTATAAGCATTTTACCCCTTCTAATATTTACAATGGTGCAAAAACCATGAGTTTTCTTTTCTCCAATATACTAAGTAACTCCCTACCAGTAAGCCTTCCCCTAGCTTCTGAAAATCAGTCATTTCAGGAGTTCTTTGGAAATATACTTGCCAGTAAATTATGCTCCCTATTAAATGCTGAACTAGAAACAAAAACCTAAATTCTACTTTGTCATGAATGATGTTTCAGGCTCGCTTATTGTCTTGTTTTGTTTGCTTTTCACTTTTATTTTATTTTTCATAAAAGCATAAAACAGGTCAATTGTACTAGCTGGCAGATGCAACTAAAATAAGCATAACAAAGAACTTAGAATCTCTATTACCTTATAACAGATCATAATTTGCTTGCTAACTTCTGACATGGAGCTTCTCATTTAATATCATTATTCAGATACTGATTCTAACATTGGGATGGCAGGAGAGTTAGGCGTGTTAACTTATGTGCTCGTGTTTAGTATGTAGAACAGGCAGTGATTTTTTTTTTCAGAAACAGAACCATGATCTGAAATACCTCCATCATTTTTGTCTTAAAAATATTAAGGCAATTCAGATTCCAGACTCCCTAAGGGCAGGTGAAATAATGTAAGTGCAAGAGTTCCTAAAGAAATCAACTGACACACTTACAAAGAATAGATATACTGGGTTGCTGGAACTGCAGTTGTTGGTGTTGATCAGCTTCTGGTTCTTCAGGCTCCACTTGAGTAGAAACAGATGCTGAAGTAGTGGGGACAGGAGTAGTACCACTGACAGATACGGGATGCTTTGACCCTGCATGGGAAGCACTTGAGGGTTGCTGTTGCTCCAGCTGCTGCTTCTGACTACCTTCTTCCTGAAGCTTCTTCTCCTGTTCTTCTCGCACCAACTGACGCTGCTCTCGCTTTCGCTTAATCAAAGATACCCTGTCCTTGATAGCTTTCGCCATTGTCTTGTGATCCCCTTCACAGACATAGCCAGATTCCACCTGAAGGAGGATATATTCACAGAATTCAGACTGTCATAGACAGCCACTATTGTGCTACAATACAGGCTATCACTCTCTTGCACTAACTTCTCATTCACAGACTTCTGAAGCAGTTTTATTTCTAGACAGTAAGAGTAAATGCAAAGGCTGATAGATGACATCTGACTGCCAAAGAATGCTATTACCTTCAATGTTTTGCAAGACTGCCACCACTTACCATTTCCTGTGCCACATCCTCTGGGACATCTCTCTCCAAGTCAAAGGAAAACTCTATTGCCTCATTATCTTTATATTTGCCCTTAAGTTTTTTGATGTCTTCAATTCGCAGCCAGAGTTTAATGGCAATTTTTTCTCCATCATCTTCCTCTGCTAGTTCTACCCGTACTCCAGTCTCTTCTTGGAAGAAAGCATGATTCAAAAGGTCCTTAATAGCATATCTAGCAGATTGGAAAACAATGTGCAGAGCACATATACCGTTAGGTTTTCATGAAATATTAAGGAATATCCTTGCCTGACAACCTCCCGAATTTATCATCTACATTTCATACCTCCTCTCATTAACCACTTGACAGCTCATCATGCAAATTTCTATCTAAAAGTAAGATGAAGGAATAAAATGCAACAGCTCTACAGATTTAGTAAAAAAAAAAGTCACACATTGGTTAGCAGAAGTGCCCACTGCCTAAAATTACGAGCCTTGAAGGGACAGTTTGGTTTTACTGAAGATTAAGATCCAACACACAACCCTTAGTCCCCAGATCAGTTCAGCAGTCATAAAAGCTATTTCAGTCTATTTAAAGATATTGACAAAAGTCTAACCTAGTTAATTCAGCACTAGTGAAGCACCTTTCATATTCTGTACTGTTTTCAACCAACTTGCACAGTTTTCCACAGTTACCTTTGTCCAGAAAGTACAAAAACATTAGCAATATATTCTTATATTCACAGAGTGTAGCAGTAGTCTGAAAGCTAACTGGTTAAGGTAAAAGGCAAGGAACAAGTGCCATGCATTCAGAATATTAGTTCAGAATTGGAAAAATACATAATTGCTTTAAAGATTTAAATTTGAAGTCTAAAGTACACAGCAACAGCATTAGATGTAAAACTCCAAGAATTAATAGAAGACAACTCTACACTGACAGAACAGGCTCAGAACAGAATAGTGAAGAGCTAGAAAAAGACAGAAGATTGAAGCATTCTTAACCCCAACAATCTACATAAAAGCAACTACATAAAAGCAAAAAAAAAAAAAAAAAAAAAAAATCCATTAATAAACCATTAGAACAGCTACAGATTTTCTGCAATGGTCTAAGCTAATCACTTCAAGCCAAAATAATATTGCAGAAAATTTGAATGTAAACAAACATCAATAACTTCAAAAATAAAGAGCCCTCAAGATAATTAGCTATAAATGCCAATGGAATCAAAGGGACAGAAAAAGAAAAAAGAAAAACAAAAAAACCAACAGAGCTACAGAATGAGGAGTCCCATTAATCCCATTAAATGGTAACTTGGAAAGATCATTATATGCTATTTTACTGATTAGATCAAAATTTTAGTAAGAACAGTAGAACTTCTGAATAACATGGATGGTTACTACAGCATTTGCACTTTGCCTTGCACTAATGCAGTAAAACAAGTGTTAAATGAGAACCTGCCAGAGAAAGAACCTGCAGAAATAATATTCATTTTCTAACTTGCATCAGATCCCAGTAATCAACTATATCTAGTATTAACAAGTTACAGATTCAGACAAAAGTAATATCTCTATCAGTACGGGAAAGAAAGCTTACCTTTCGCCTTTGTTTTGCCGAATGCATCCCTCAATAATCTCCTTCACTTCAGGGATCGCTACTTTATCAAAGCTGGCGGGCTTGACACCCTGAAACATACAAATAAGAAGAAAAATCTGGAAGGCTCACTTGACTTAAGTTTTGTTTGTGCAAATATTCACTTACAAACTGACTGTTTTTATTCAACATGTACCTGGGCAGAATTCCCCACTAGTGGAGGTTGTAAGGAAATCTACCCCCAATATTATTGCTCATCTGTTTGCTAGTGACTTTTTCAAACGTGGATTTTTTCCAGCATTTCTTGATTAGACTTCCATAACAGAAGGTTTCAACAGTTAAGTGCCAGGCTATAAGCATAAGCTTACCATGTCATTTTTTTCTACAGAAGGTATGATGATCAGAGGAAAAAATGTTTCCTATTGAACACTAACGCAAGAACCCACAAGATTGACTTCAACAGTCTTTAAAGGATTCTGCTGCTTCCCAGAATGTTCCTAACATGCCATTAGATGAAGTAATTTTGGCAGAATGATTTTATGGGAAAAACAATAGCTCAGAATGATCAGACTGGATCATTATATAACGTGAATAGTGTTTAAAAAAGAAGAATGGGAAAGAAAAAAAAAAATCTTTACATCTTAGCTCTTCTCAAATCTAATAATTTCAAACCACGCTCTTGTATGATTGCTGTTGTGAGTCCAGGAAAGTGAGCTTCACAATACACACCTTTCCAAAAGCCCTTCAAGAATGTATGATGATTCTTTCTTCAGTATATGTTAAAGCCATTGGGGACAGATAGAAATAAAATCTAAGTGCAAGCAACTACTCATTTCAGTCAAGTAACTAGACCATGAGGTTTGACCAGTTGGGAATTCTGCAGAACGCTGCAGACACAGAAAGCGAAACTCCATCACTAAATCATGGCCAAGAGCTCTTTTTCAGGGGGCAATTGTCCAAACCAGCAAGACTTGGCGCTCAGTTTTACTTGATTCAGCCTTTAGCTTCAAATTCTGTATTTTAAGATGGAAGAAAGCAAAGATGGAGCCACCTTGTTCAAATGCTGTTTATGTGATGTGCCTAAACTTTCAAGTCAAACAATCTTGAAAATCAGTATAATTTGATGCACAGTAACATATAGTACTGAGATAGCAACATATAATATTAATTACCACATACACTGGACACATCTGAGCCTGTGTAACTGGTGAATCATAAGTAAAAAAATGAAAGAAACAGACTCAAGCACAGATACAAATGAAGAAACAATACAGACAGCATGATCTGTGTCTTAATGAGGAAGTATTTCTCTCAGTGTACCAGTAGATATCCCTTCTCACCCAAGTGGAATATGAAAATATAGCACTTCTTTACTGTCAGTGCAAAGGAAGCCTTGAAATGTAAAGAGTCAAGTCTCTCAACCAGAGCCTTTGCAGCTGCAGACTTTTATTTAACTGAACGTTGACTTAATACAATAGTAATTTTTATCTACATTTAGATATTGTTTTTCTTGGCCAAACATGGCAGCATATTGATTTCATGTGTTCACAACCTAAGACTACCATGCTCTTCCACGAGAGGGCACAGTTTACTTCAAACATATGCAAAAACAAGACTGGGAGAGCATAGCATCCAGACTTTCAGTGAAGAACCGCACTATTTGTCATTGTGCAAAGGTGTTGTGAACGCATCTGAAATTTGGTGATCACATCCAACATTTGAAGAGAAAGGAGAAGAACCATAGAAAGACACAGATCTTTCCCTTAGTAAAAACCTCCTGTTACAACAACATTCTCAATTTTCTACTTCGAAGCTCTAAAATTTGTCCCTATGACATTTCAGCAATTGAGATTACAGAACTGAGGAGCGTACTGCGACAAGACTAAGATCTGAAACACAGACTGCCAGCATACGTTAATTTAACACTAAAAAGCTTCAGTGAAAGTAAGACTTCTGGAGGTAAATGCCTCAGCTGATAGCAGGTTTGCCTGAGTACACTACATTACTGTAGCCAGGTCATACCACAAATCTCCCGCTTTCCAGCAGGATGCCACAAAGCAATACACTCAGTGAATTTTATTAAACTGCTTTTAGCATTTACTGCTTGCATAGAATGCCTGTGTATTTGTCTCTGCTCACATGGCAGATACACCCATCTTTTAATATGTGGCTGAGCTTAAAATAGTCCCAGGAATTCAGGTTCATACATGCACAGAATAAAATGCTCACTTATATTCATATATACTCAGATAATCTGTGCAATAGTTATTTGCCTGGCTGTTGTATAGATTTGTAACTAAATTTGCCAGAGAAGTTGTCTAAAATTTAAACTTATCTCATACTCCTAAGCAGCCCAACTTCCAGCCATAGCATCTGCCCACCTGCACGCTCATTTACACTGCGGCAGCAGAAGGAAAGTGTCGGATCTGTTGGTGACTATTTGACCACATGCTCTCTTCTTGCACAATGCCTGAAGAGAAGTAGCTAAGAAAACGTTTTTAAATCGGGGACTCAGTCTGCTACTCTGTATACCTCTATCCTGAAAGATGTTAAGTAAACGTCCAAAAACTTCAGGACCTTCCATGAGGGCCACCTTATAGTACTCCATTTCGTGAATTAAAAACAAAAACAAACAAACAAAAAAAACAGTTAAGAAAAAAGCTCTCCCCAGCCAAGACCTTCGCCACCATAGCTTCCATAATTCTGAGGTTTCCCTCAGAAAATCTCAGATACATTCACACTGGGACCTAAAACTAATATAGGATTGGGTGTTCAAGCAGCTGCCTTTCTCAGCTTCTTCCAAAGTCAGTTAGAACTGCCTAACTGGTCAAGAATCCCTTAAACCAAAGTTCAGACTATGCTCAGCTTTGAAAATCAGTTTTTCTTTTCGACTGCCAAAAGTGAAAGACCGCTTCACATAACAAGACAGAAGATAGTATTAATGGTAATCAATAAATCAATGATCCTTTTCTACACAGAGATGTCCTTCCCTTGTAATCATGCCATCACAGAGAAAGCAGAGGGGGACCCTGTGATTCAAATAACCTTCATGTGTCCTTAAAAGCTCATGAGCTGTGCAGCCAGGCATACTTTCATTAGATTCTGAACCCAAAGGCACTGTAGTCATCACTGTTTCCTGGTTTTAACACTGCACACTTATTGCAAAATGGCCTCATTCACACATTTTCTCCCCAGTCCCCAAATTGCTCAGAAAAATCATAGGACTTTTTTTTTAATCTATTTGTTCCACTGTCCACTGGAAATTCAATCAGAGTTAAATACCCAAATACTATTATAAATTGTAATTTACAAATTTGTTAAGGAAGTGAAAGGAAGAGCTCTTGCAGACTAAAAACTTGTAACTAGGTATAACAAGTACATTTTCTCAAGCTATTATCTACATCATCATAAACTGACATGGCTGCTGAAAGCAGCAGCGTCCTGTTTCTCCATCTCCCATTCCCACATGCCTGTCATTTCCTCCCTAAGGCTGGCAAAAGCATTTACACAGCTGCATAATGAACCAGATCATAGTGTTTAGCAGACTTGAAACAAACTCAGCCAAAAAAGCCTGCAGTGGTTTCCAGTGAGGCCAAGATCCCCAGCCTGGTTTGCTGCATTGTTGCAGTAGTGCCCACACTTGCACAAGGAGTACAAGTGTTGCAGCTGATGTGAGCACAACCATGTCTCTTGAAAACAATGCTAAGAAAGTAGAACCCACCAAACACATTTTAGGAAGGCATCCAAACCTTTACAATGTTGGTGTATATACAGGCAGCGCAAAACACAACTTAGGCAAAGCTGAATGCTTTATTAGTACTTATCTTAGTCTTCATCTTAAGTACAGGAGATTATCACAAGGAAGACAAGTGAAATGTAAGAAGTTTGTGATTTTAACAGGTTTAAATCAGGTTTAAAAGAAAAAAAACACACACACACACACAACTGAATTTGAAAACTGCAACACCCACGTTTGTATGGTTATACGATCCGCTAAAAGCTGTGTACTCTTAGAAAATTATACATTTTCAAGCTTTTAAACATGAGAACTCCCCTTAACAACTTTTGCCTAGAAGTATGTAGTAGTATTTTACATGAGTTAGCACACCAAATAAATGGATAAGTAGATTATCATCTCACTCTAATTCAAAATATACTGAAAATATTGCAAGAGAAGGTACAATCAGTGCTTTTTACACCATGAAAACAGTGAACACAATGTCAACATGCCCTGAGAACTTTTTAAAAAAATTTTTAAACAGTTCAGTGGAGAGCAACACAAATAGGCAATAGCAGGAGCTAAGTGTTCTAGCTACTCTGAACAGGATTTGAATATTCATTAGGAAGTTGGAGGAAAAGTACAATCAAGTTCAAAAGCTAAGGGCATTCTAAGCAAATACAAAGCAGCTCACACTTGTTAGTAAATCTGATTCACTACCCCCAAATCCTTCACCGCTCCTATGCAATTTTTCTAGACTTGACATTCTCACCTACCTCTTTAGTGCAATCCTTGTGAGAGCAGCAACAACAGTGGGAATTAACAATTACAAATACGGGACCGACCTCCCTTTTTGTAAAATCCATCAGGAAAAGAGAGACTTGCACACCAGCGTTAGTTGGGTGCTAGTTTCCGATGGGAATCCCTCAAGCTGTGGGTTTAACGCACAGCAGAAGGAAAGCAGACATCGAAGTTAGAAGGGAGCATTGTTTTTTCTTTGACTCCTCTTGTACTCTTCCAAGTGCAGTTCATGAGGCTGCAGAGATTCAAGCTTAATGTTGGCTTTTGTCACTCAAATTCTGAATAGAAATAATGACTATAAGAGGTGAGCTCGTCCTTTCCAGCCTGTCCAGTTGGTTGCAAGGAGGAGGAAGAGAAGGCAGCACAGAAAGCCTTTACTTTCTACTTGTCTCCGCCTCCCCATTGAGCTGCTCTGCCTATTCTCCACCTGTTTTCTGCCATAGTTTAAGGCTGTATGCAGGAACATCACCCAATTCCCCCCCCCAGCTGTGGAATGGGTCGATCAGTAGGTTGTTCTCACCTAACACTGCTTGCACTACTTTTGTACTGTGAAGAGAGCTGCTGTTTCTCCTC